AACAGCATTCCGAGGGAGACTGGGGACATTGAGTCCGAATGGACCATGTTCAGCGTCTCCATTGCCGAAGCTGCTGCATTGAGCTGCGGCCGCAAGGTGGTTGGTGCCTGCCGTGGTGGTAATCCCTGAACCAAATGGTGGACACCAGAGGTGAAGGGAGCCACTAGGCTGAAGAAGGAGTCCTATCGGGCTTGGTTAGCCTGTGGGACTCCGGAGGCAGCCAACAGGTATCGACAGGCCAAGCGGAATGCGGCTCGGGCAGTGGCTGAAGCAAAAACTCGGGTGTGGGAGGAGTTCGGAGAGGCCATGGAAAAAGACTTTCGGACTGCCTCAAAGAGATTCTGGCAAACCGTCAGACGTCTCAGGAGGGGAAAGCGGTGCTCTACCTGCACTGTGTATAGTGCTGGCGGAGCGCTGCTGACGTCGACTGAGAAAATTGTCAGGCGGTGGAAGGAATACTTCGAGGACCTCCTTAATCCCACTGACACGTCTTCCGAGGAGGAAGCAGAGTCTGGGGATGAGGGGAATGGCCCGCCAATTTCCGGGGGCGAGGTCACTGAGGCAGTTAAACAACTCCTTGGTGGCAGAGCCCCTGGTGTTGATGAGGTCCGCCCCGAGTTCCTGAAGGCTCTGGACGTTGTAGGGCTGTCCTGGTTGACACGCCTCTGCAGTGTTGCGTGGAGATCAGGGGCAGTACCTGTGGACTGGCAGACCGGGGTGGTGGTCCCCATCTTTAAGAAAGGGGACCGGAGGGTGTGTTCCAACTACAGGGGGATCACACTCCTCAGCCTCCCTGGGAAAGTCTATGCCAGGGTGCTGGAAAGGAGAGTTCGTCCGTTAGTCGAACCTCGGCTACAGGAGGAACAATGCGGTTTTCGTCCTGGTCGCGGAACACTGGACCAGCTCTTTATCCTCTCCAGGATACTTGAGGGTGCATGGGAGTTTGCCCAACCAGTCTACATGTGTTTTGTGGACTTGGAGAAGGCATTCGACCGTGTCCCTCGGGGTGTCCTGTGGGAGGTGTTGCGGGAATATGGGGTGTCTGGCCCATTGCTACGGGCCATTCGATCCCTATACAACCGTTGCAAGAGCTTGGTTCGCATTGCCGGCAATAAGTCGGACTCGTTCCCGGTGGGTGATGGGCTCCGCCAGGGCTGCCCTTTGTCACCGGTTCTGTTCATAATTTTTATGGACAGGATTTCTAGGCGCAGCCAAGTGGCGGAGGGCTTTCGCTTTGGTGGCCTCAGAATCTCATCTCTGATTTTTGCAGATGATGTGGTTCTGTTGGCTTCATCGGGTGAGGGCCTCCAGCTCGCACTGGAACGGTTCGCAGCCGAGTGTGAAGCAGTGGGAATGAGGATCAGCACCTCCAAATCTGAGGCCATGGTTCTCAGCCGGAAAAGGGTGGAGTGCCCACTCCGGGTCGGGGATGAGTTCCTGCCCCAAGTGGAGGAGTTCAAGTATCTCGGGGTCTTGTTCGCGAGTGATGGGAGAAGGGAGCCGGAGATCGACAGACGGATTGGGGCTGCAGCTGCAGTAATGCGGACGTTGCACCGGTCCGTCGTGGTGAAGAGGGAGCTGAGTGTAAAAGCGAAGCTCTCAATTTACCGGTCGGTCTACGTCCCTACCCTCACCTATGGCCACGAGCTGTGGGTAGTGACCGAAAGAACGAGATCGCGGATACAAGCGGCAGAAATGAGCTCCCTCCGAAGGGTGGCTGGCCTCTCCCTTAGAGATAGGGTGAGAAGTTCGGCCATCCGGGAGGGGCTCAGAGTAGAGCAGCTGCTGCTCCACATCGAAAGGAGCCAGCTGAGGTGGTTCGGGCATCTGACAAGGATGCCCCCTGGGCGCCTCCTGGGTGAGGTGTTCCAGGCATGTCCCACCGGGAGGAGGCCCCGGGGCAGACCCAGGACACGCTGGAGAAATTATATCTCTCGGCTGGCCTGGGAACGCCTTGGTATTCCCCCGGATAAGCTGGAGGAGGTGGCTGGGGAGAGGGAGGTCTGGGCCTCTTTGCTTAGGCTGCTGCCCCCGCGACCCGGCCCCGGACAAAGCGGATGAGGATGGATGGGTTTAGAAAACTCAGAGTGAAAAACGATACTCAGGGTTGAGTAACCCCGAACTGTCCAACTCGGAATATTCGGTTTCAGAAAGGCTGATAACAATTAGTTCAATCAACGCGGAGTTGCTTTAACCCCAAGTTAAGCGCGCGCACGAGGATACATAAAGCCCTGATCAGTGGAGCACAGATTAAGCGAGTCACCATGGAGACGGAGGGGAAGAAGGCGCGGTCAATGTATTTCACAGCGCTTGAGACCGAAATTCTGATGGCAGCATATGCTGATAACATGCAAATTTTGCAGAAAAAAAGTAACACAGCCTCAGCTGCAAAAGAAAGGGAGCATGCATGGCAAAACAAAGCCGACAGAGTCAATGCGTGAGTGTTAATTTAAACATTGATCTAGGGATTTCCACCCATTTAACACGTTATTTTATTATATTTTATTTTGTATTTTATACATTTGATTTTGTGATGTGATGTGAGCGCAGGTGCAACCCAACAGGCCCCAAACGTTCCTGGCAGCAAGTAAAAATGAAATATAAAAATATAGTCCAAACAGGTAAGGTGTAATTGTATTATGAGCCATGCTTGGTCTGTTTGTCCGATGTAAATCAATTGTAGTTAGAGGCTACATTAATTTTCTTTCTGTAAGCACTTATTGAAATTATCTGAGCACATTACAAGTACATATTTGCTTACTCTGTATGCTCATATGCGACCCGTTATAGCCAACAGAAAAAAAGCGGAGGCCCGAAAAACAGCTGGGGGTCCTCCACCACCACCACTCACAGAGGCTGAGCAGTTGGCTTCCACATTTGTGATAATGTTGGCAGCATCACATATGATCTTCACAGTGCAGAGAACACAAATCAGCATCCATTACTATAATGAAATAATTTGTTAGTTTGAAATGCTACAGGGAACTATGTACCTGTACATTAATGCTGTGGAAAGACTTCCTGTTCACATAGTCTCCTTCATTTACTGAAGGAGCAATGATTGGAATGTGAGTGCCATCTATACAGCCAATCACGCCTGGGAACCGTGAGAATAAATGTAAAATTTAAGTAGTAGTTCAAGTATCACCACATCATGAATTAAGTTTCGTTCATCCTGATACCTGCAATTTTGTGGCATCCCTCTTTGATAAATCTTGTGGGTCTATGACCGGGGAACACCACAAATGAGTACACGAGACGTTTCAGTGCAACTGTAACATTCCTGACTGCCCGACAGACGGTAGCCTTGGAAACGTGCTCAGCGTCACCAATATTATACAGAAAGCTCCCGTTTGCAAAAAACCGAAGTGCAATACAAATAATATGTACAGAACTGAGAGAATGTCCGCGATGTGTCACATGAGCAATATTAGGCCTGAGGATGTTATTCAAATGAATTGTAGATTGTGCTGAAAAACGGTAACGTTCACACAGAAAATCATCAGGAAATGATAAAATGTCCAAACGCGCTCTAATCACTCTCTCCCGGCGGAGAGCTCTGCGGAGAATTTGGGCTTCAACATCTACTGGCTCTTCAAGGAAGGAGCACGCCATGTCTGACACTTCCTACAGTCAGGTTTCCGACAAAGAGGCGGAGAAAGTCAGGGTTAGTTGAAGTAAACCTGCTAGGGGGCAGGTTAGCTTCACAGAGTGTGTCGTCATAGTGAATCACTCAGAATTAATCTAAACTCGCTTTGTGAAACCGAAAACCCAGTTTTCGTTAACTCAGGGTATACTTACTCAGAGTTTGCACTAAACCGGCTTCCTGAAATAGGGCCCAGTTCTACAACAACCGCAGTCTGACACTGCATATTACCATCAAGGTCTAAATTCCCTCACTCCACACCACGCATGAATTGATTCCCTGAATCCAGGAGAACATCTGGATCTGAAAGCCTGTGATATGTTCTTGACAACCTCAAGAAAATGTCTCACAATTTTGCTTATTTCAATTTGATATGTATTTCAAAAATGGTAAATAAATCTTTGGTGAATTTGTTGATTAGGATTGCGTCCAAAAGTCACATTGTTACCTTTTTTATTATAATTTTTAAAATAATCTGACAAAGAAACTAACTAAAAGACACACAACACCAATTAATTTCCCTGTTGAAGCTAATAATAGGGTAAAATGTTTGAAAGAAGACACTTTTCTAGCAAAAGTCAGCTCTGACTATTTCAGATCTTTCTGAACAGAGAGCACAAATGCTCAGAAACAGTGTTTTCTTGGTTGGAGATACTGTTACGGCATTTTGAATCAGTGACTTAGGTGATTTATGCTCTGATCAATAATGCAGGGCCCTGTCTGTTCACTCAGCTGTTTAAAGGTCCATAGTTCAGAGGGACTCAGATAAACGGGGTCTCTGTGTCTGCAGTTCAATATTTGTGTTAACCTTGGCCAGTCTCTTTGCTTGAGTAAAAAAAAAAAAAAGTATCATAAGGTTTCTGTTTTATGATCATCAGATATTGTTGATGGTCTTTTAAGTTTACTTTCCTCTTCTGTATGCAATCATGATCAATCTACTTAAAGGGCTAATTATTTGTATTAAAATGTTTAATATTGCTTGGATAGTATCATGGCTAACTTTTTAAGGATTCTTTTTGAAAACATTTTTTTCTTTATCTTTTGGTGGTGATTTGTTGAGATGTTTGAGAAAAAAGGGGAGGGTGAAGAAAGATTTCTTTTCAGGTGTCCTATAGTTTTCCATTTAAAAAGTAATAAACTGGCAACCACAAACCAAATTAAAAAAAAAAAAAAAACTATAAAGGAAGAAATGTATTTTCTTTGTTCTTAGTTAAAATAGGTATTTTATTTTCCCAGAAGATGGTGTCTTCTCATAGTGTCTCACAGTAACCTGGCATTTCAGTGTTACAGAAGTGGCGTTGTCAGTTTGATTGTATGTGTCTAATGTGGGATTTTTTTCTTTTCTTTTTTCCAGCCCGTAGCTTCAATGTTCACAAAGCTGAAAGCATGATCAGGAAGGTAAGCTCTGTGTTGTTCAGACGGTGAGAGCCTGTTTGCTCTTCAAGTACCCAACTAACACCCAACACATATTTCTACCTGGTGCTGCTTTTCAAATCTCTGTACTAAATGTATTAAATCCATTAAAACTGTATTTACCTTTTAGATATTACATAAAATGACGAGTTTATATAACACAGTGCAATGTTAAAGATTAATCCAGTGTTTGATTTGTGGCCCTCTTTCTAGGGAATTTAGTTAGTGACTCTTTTCATGTTCAAGGACAACGTAATATAGGACAATGTATAGTAAAGTAAATTCATGGAATTAATGGATCAGACTTTATGCCTATAGTTTTAGGGAACCTAGTGCACATATTTCCAGCTATATATCTTTTCAGAATTCACAGTTTAAAATAATCCTCATTGTGATTGGCTGAGTGATAAAGTGATAAAGGCACAGGTGAGTTGGGCTTATGAAATACACCACCAGAACTGTGTAGTTGAGATGATCATATTAGTGATATCTGCTCTCACTGACATCAAACAAATCCAAGAGTGGAAAAACTTAGTGAAAGCAGAATGTTTAGAACAGTCTGAGGGCAGAGCATTGGGCTCACAGAGGTTACTTAATGGACTCTTTGTCTGAAATTCTAGACATATTTAATATAAGCAGCCAACCATTGTAACAGTATATACTGTGTATATGAAACAGAAAATAAAGTAAAGCATGAAAAAAGCTTCTTCCATTTCAAAACATGAAATCATTTCTAGAATAATAGCTATAGAGTGTCTTTGACAGCTGGAGCATTTGTGGGGAAACACATTACTCTGTGTTTGCCTGGTTTTTGTAAGCTTTAGTCTTTAACTTACCCAGCCTTGTTGTCTTCGACCTCTGCAGCATGTGGTGTTTAGGGAACAGATGAAAGTAGACACCATCCTATCTGACTGGAAACCTCCAGAGGTAACCTACTGCATTTTCTTTTTAGCTAATATTTGTGAAAAAGTAGTCTGAACTGAGGATGAAGGGGACTGTTGTTAAATGAGCAGTCTTTCAGACTCTTTAGTTTTTGAAGGTCACATTTTTTTCTTTATGAATCCATCTCTCAGGTGATTAAGAAGTATGTATCTGGAGGGATGTGTGGCTATGACCGTGAGGGAAGTCCAGTCTGGTACGATGTGATTGGCCCTCTAGATCCTAAAGGTCTGCTGATGTCAGCCACCAAACAGGACTTCCTGAAGACTAAGATCCAAAACACAGAGATGCTACGGCAGGAATGTCAAAAACAGTCTGAAAAGGTCAGCCAGGAGTTCTCTGTTCTTCCCTTTCCACTCCTCTCTGCTCGTCTCTTCTAATGTTACTGTGTCTCTCTCTCAGTTGGGGAAGTACATTGAATCCATCACTCTAATCTATGACTGTGAAGGACTTGGATTGAAGCACATTTGGAAACCTGCTATTGAGACCTATGGAGAGGTTTGTTATCAGCTTTTGTAACAATCACCCACTCATACACACGAAACATCTATGTGTCATTACTGCTTTCGGCCATGTAGATCCTCACCATGTTTGAAGACAACTATCCTGAAGGCTTGAAGAGGGTGTTTCTCATCAAAGGTACATAAGACCATTTGTCTGCATATTTGATTTCCACGTTCTGTTTCAGAATTTTGGTTGATAATTTGTATCTTTTGCTGAAGCGCCCAAAATGTTTCCTGTGGCCTACAACCTGATCAAACACTTTCTGTGTGAGGAAACACGGCGCAAGATCATTGTTTTAGGAAGTAAGACAACTTTTCTTTATCCCAGTGTTTTCTGAGTCTTTACTTGATCTTGATGCTAACATTAGCATGCTGAAGTAACAAAGTACTTGCAAAAAGCAGAAACGGGATTCTGAGACCACCCATGTGAAAGCCTTCCATTACTTGGCTACGTCTAGAAATTCTGTCCATAAAAATTACAAACAGAATGGATGACAAAGGGCAGCCCTGGCGGAGATCATCATGAACTTATCGCTGGCTATGCGGACCAAGCTCTTGCAATGTTTCTATAAGGACTGAATGACCACAGGTCTGGTGATACAATTATGAAATCGATCATCGACCTACTGCCTAGAGCTTCCTGGTGCCATGTGGACCACCATGTTTTAACTTATGCTAAAACATGGTTTTTGTTTTGGAGAAACTGTGGTTTGCACAGAAATCCAACAATAAAACACAGCTTGGGTTCAGATCCAGGAGGCCATTCCTCCCAATTATGCCTCTCACCCAGGGCAACTCTAGACTAACACAGAGTCCATCCCAGCTCCAGGAGACTGGTTCTAGAGCCCAAGCCGTGCGTTGAGGTGAGCCCAACTATATCTCATGAGGATGAGCTGGGACGAATCTCTGGTGGGCTCCTTCCCCGCCAGAGAGTTGACATCCCATGTCCCAATTTTGGTAGCTGGGGATCGATCCACCAGGGCTTCTGTGCTACCTGGCACACATTGCACCTGACCCCTATGGTCAATATGCAGTCTTTCTTATATTTACTATTTAGAGTTTATAATTTTACTCTTTTCATCTACACGAATGTCAACCTATAAAGGAACTAAGGTCATGAAACAAAGCAGTCTTATTAAACTAAAAAGTTTTAAATTACAATATTGTGTTTACAGGTAACTGGCAAGAAGTGCTACGTGAACATATTGACCCAGATCAGCTTCCAGTGGTGTATGGAGGAACTCTGACTGACCCAGATGGAGACCCCCACTGCAGAACCATGGTGAGAACAGAGGGAAAGACTGATTAAATACAATGCTGTTCCTCTAAAATTGGAGACTAAAGTGATGCGTGTTTTTGTGTATTGTGGTTGCAGATCAATTTTGGTGGTACAGTTCCCAAGTCCTACTATGTGCAGGATTCAGTGAAGGTTCAGTATAACAAAAGTGTGACCATCAGCCGTGGCTCTGTCATCCAGCTGGAGTTTGATGTTCCTGCAGCCAGCAGCCTCCTGAGGTACAGCAGGTTTATTCTGTGTTCTGAGAACAATGAATCACTGACTTGTAGTGTGTGTTTGTGGTGATTTAGTGATATAGACTTTAAAATTAAATTAAATTAAAAAAAAATACTAAAGCTGCCACTCATGATGAATTCATTATTGCTTGTCAGGTGGCAGTTTGCCAGTGATGGAGCAGATATTGGGTTTGGAGTGTACAAGAGGACTAAAGAGGGCAGCCAACAGAAGATAGCTGACATGCAGCAAGTTCTACCCAGCGAGCGCTACAATGCACACTTGGTCCCTGAAGATAGCTGCCTCACCTGTCCTGAGCCCGGAGTCTGTAAGTAACTCACAGCTGTGTGTACAGGTACTTTTGCAGTAATGTCTGCAAAATTAGTCTGTAACAATGAAAATTGCTCATTTCATTTTGCTTCCAATGCGCCAGACTTTCTTGTTATTTTTTCTTTAAGTGGACTTGAGCAACAGTCCTCCAGCTTTCTAAAGATCTTTCAAACTCTATTCAAAGACCGTTTATATAGGAATCCTTTTTGTTTGTTTGTTGAGGCACTTTAACAATTGACATGTGAATCATTTAAGCATATTCAAGGCTCCTAACTCAATGGACATAACGGATAACTTAAATTCAATTTTAAATTGTAACTTTACGTACCTCGTTACTAGCAGCCTGTTGTAAAAACACAAAGCACATAATTTATTCCCTTTTCCTTAGCTAAATGTCAGACTGCCTTTCAAACCACCAAAGATAACAGTTTAATAGGCATACAATAGTACTTTTGCACTAACAAGGTGATTCCCAAAGAGCTATTGGCCAAAAACTTGGCATATCTCAACATTGTATGCAGTGGGTCCTTAGAAAATGTGAGGAAACTGTCAAGTGGAGGACAAAAGAAAATGTGGCAGACCTAAAAAAATTACCTACAGCAGATGAGAAGTTGAGGTATACCAAATTACATAAAAACTGGACTGAAAATCAAGTGCCAATAAATGTTATGTAGTGATGACTCCAGATGTGAAATTTTGGTTTAAATTGTCATTGATATCAGGACAGAGGTACAACAGTGAGTGTCTTACAGTCATAATACAGTGAAGGCTCTCGCTAATCCAGTATGACCTTTATGTGAAAGCAGTGAGGGATCATCTGGACAGAGAATGTAGCAAAAGGCTAGCTCTTCTTTGGATGCTATAGGGTGTTCACATATTCAGAATCAACAAAATTCTTATTAAAACACAACCTGTCACATTTATAGAGTGATTTAGAAGTGTAGCTGTAACGCGGTGATTTCCCTTGTGGGATCAATAAAGTATTTTATGCGTTTACAGGATGATAGCTTTTCTTAGCTGTTAGTGACTGTATCCTTTGCTTTGTGCAGATGTGCTGTGTTTTGATAACAGCTACAGCATCCTTCAGTCCAAGAAAGTGAGATACAAGGTTGAAGTTATTCCACCGGCAGATGTTCTGATGCAATATCCACGCAGCAGTGGTGATGGAAGGCTACAGTGAGGACACCCACAGCTGAGAGGACACAGTTCTGATCTTTGTTACTAGTTAGCTATGTCATCCCATCGGGGCTAAATTACCTCCACTTCTTCCACTGCGTTCAGTATGTATGAATTCATGATACACACATGCATACATTTGTTGTAATTTTATTACGAAGTGACTTAAAACCAGGCTGAATTTGGGAGTCACAGCTGAATCTGCAGCTTTCTTTATCTTTATAGAACTTTTCACTGATTAAAACTTGAAGTTTACCTGACTAATTGCTAAACAACCCATGATAGCTGATTCTACTGGTCACTTTGAATCAGCAAAAAAGATGTTTTTGTATACATCTGATTCATTTTGAGCTCTATTTTTGGCATCTACCCCCTCTCAAGGGAATTATCGCTGGGGGGGGGGTTCAGCCCCATTTTGATCACAAACTTCATGTAATTCATCTATATGTAGTCTGTGAGTTAAGCTTGTGAGGGAAGTTAAACAAAATATCTAAATCATCAATCAATATATATTTCTCAATCAAACGCTAAATCATGAGATCATTTCTGAACATGTATTTACACATACATTTAGGACACTGTACACATTATAATTAAACACTGTTAGGTGTGTTTGGCTTGTAGTTAATGTAACAGATGAGTTACTTTAATTGGAGAGCTTTCCACAGACTTCTGAAGGTTTACTTCAGCATCTTTTAGTGGTAGCTTTAGCTAGTATTGAGTGGTACATACAGTATTATTAAGGGAAATATTAAACAAATTGAGAGAAATAACAGGGTTGGTTTGCCCACGGTGTAATGTAGCCATTGTTTTCCACTGCAAAGAAGAACCATTCAGAACAACAGTAACAAAGAGAAATGTTTACTTTATACAGCATTTCAAACCAGAACCACAATTAACTGTACAAGCTCATCATTTAATACTGAAGGACCACATTTGTAAAGATTTACTGTGTTCTAGTAATTTTTGTAATTAATATGGTAATATATTAGTAAGATGTTCATATATACGTGCTTTGTGAAATATAGTATAATATAAGTGCTTTGTATAAGTGCGTCAGTTTGGGATGGATACAAGAAAAAAAAGCCCTTAAGTTTTAAAAGGCCCACAACATCATGTTTTTGTTGCCATATTTGTCTCTTTATAGTCATCCTGTCTGTGTAGATGTGTTCAGCTCCTTGTGGTAGTTTTGCATCTTGTACATAGTTTCTCTGTCTTAATATTGACATGTTTTGTTTTTGTAATCTGGGCCTGTTCTATGAAGAGAGTTGAACATATCCAGGGTGTCTTTTTGTAATCTGGATTCATCCACTAACCTGGTTATTAGCTGGTTATCAGCTTGTACATTTCATTATTTTTTAAAAGAGAGTTTTAGGTTTTATTCTGCTGCCTGGATTGTTATTAGCTGTTTGAGAGCATGTAAAGAATAAATATAAAAATTGAATTCAAATGAATGCTTAGAGCTGGAATTTGGAACATATCCTGCTCAACAACAGTACAATTTACCATGGCAATATACCCTCATAAGAAGCTAACTACCTTCATGATACAAAACACGCCAGGATTAACCAGTGGAAATATGGTTTAAGAGGTTAAGTAATACAAACTTCCGTGTTAGAGAAAACGCACTGTAAAGTAATACAGTATTACAAGTGTGCATTTTAGGCACTTTGGTGGGTAAGATTGGAACAGAGCTACTACATTTTAAAAAAAGTTTAGCCTATTTGAAAGAAAGGTGTCATAAATGTAGACTGTGTAAATTAACCAACTTAGCAATATCACAATTCTATCTTTTAGACATGTGAGAATAATGGATTGTAACTGACTATTTCTTTAAATTTATATTTAAAAGATAGTGTTAATTTTTCACCTATAGACTCAGTTGTGTTTAACAGCCTAAGAGTAAAAAAAGAAAAGAAAAATAACACCAGAACGTAATGGGTAGGCTTAGTTTATGTGCCAATTGCATATAAAGTCCACAAGTACAAATAGTTTTTCTGGTACAAACATGCACAGAGGCAAAACAGTCAAATTACTTTCTGGGGCTATTTATCAAATCAAATTCTGAAGTTTTGTTTGATAAGTGTACCTCCACTCTGCTCAAACTGGATAATAATGGCCTTTAAAATTACTGATTGCTGCACTATAATCTCTTGAAATTAAAGATGTACATAATTATAATTGATCCACAATCTAAAGAAGCATGACGTCATGATGTAAAATGATGCTGGTTTATTTCTTAATCATTGGAAACTCTGTCATTGTGGAATTTTAATAAATAAATTTTTATTCATAAATACAAACCTTTTGTACTGTTTTTTATTACAGTATCCCTTATGTTCAAGCACATGCAAGTGTGGTATTACAGAAACACATAATAATCAGTATGTGACTGCAAACTTTCAGCTTTAATTCTGTTTGTTTAACAAATACTTTAGATTAGACACTGTTGGGGAATTACATACATTTTTTTACATAGTCTCTCATTTTCTGAAGCGTCAGTGACTGCCTGAAGTCTAGAAGCCATAGACATCACCATGAAATCAAACCATGTGAAAGGAACAAACGTTCATTTCGTTTTAAAATTCGCATGCTGTGACTAAAGAAAAATGTCTGTGCCTGTGCACATCGCTTTAAAAGAGGAAATCGGTCAGAATGCTTCGTAATGTGTTCAGTTAGGGTTGTTCCCTGGACCCAGGCATCGGCAATACAAAATAACAACAAATAAACACAAAAAGACTCACATAAAGAGACAAAATAGACAAAATGGCACGGAGACAAGACGATATGATAACCATTGTATTTGTATTAATTTTGGCACGCTCGGCCCCTCAGAAATAATTTTACCTCAGACCTAAGTACAGTTTTGATAAGTGGTGTGGCCACTGGGTGACGCTACAGGAAAGGACTTTTAACGTTATTGGCTTATTACATAACAGCTAATTAGCGAATATTAGGATCTAATAATAAATAAAGATGGCTAATAAACACTGCACTGGGAAAAAAATCCGTGACAATGCAGTGATGCAGTAATGTAATAGTCAACCTCGGAAATTATTAGGCTTTTCCACATCTTAACTGAACTGATACAGACAGCTTGTGTAATTATTATCATTATACAAACGGGCTATATCCTGGCTCCACAGAGTTTGTCTCTCAGGAAATAAATAAACGTCCCCTGCATCTAGCATCCCTGGCCGGGCATCGTGCCAGCGGGATGCAGGCTGGTGCAGGATGAGGATGGAGGGCGGGGGGATGTACACAGATGCCATGTGCCTTTACATAACCGCAACTGGCTTTGGATACAATTGGATGAGAAATCGGTGGCCAGGGACAGCAGCAGCAGCAGCAGCGTCCGTCCTGCTGTGTGCCGCAGTGCCCCGAGCCCAGCGGGGAGTAACGTGGCCGGGCACTGAGGCGGGGGGAGTGTGAGTGTTGCTGCAGAAAAATGATAGCGAAGCGTCACCAGGAGCGTGTGTGACCTGCAAGGAGCGTGAGTGTGTTTGTTTATCAGCTCTACATGTCGCTGTCCGGCAGTCGGTGTTAATGTGTGTATGTGTCCGTGTATGAGTGAGCGTATGTGAGAGATAGCGGGAATGGGGGGAGAGGGAGGAGCTGCTTGGACATGAGTAAATGACGTCAGCTCCCAGGTCGCCGAGCACAGAAACAAACATGGCGACAGAATGGAGTGGACAGCAGGGTTACATTCTCACCGTGGTTATCTGTCTGTGGAGCGGTCGGACAGAGTTGGTGGCAGCCGCTGGGCCCGGTGTCAGCGGTGGAAGGGGAGGCGGCGGCGGAGGCGGTGGGAGTCAGGTGCTCGGCATGAGGCTGGAGAGGAGCAACAAGCCGGCCAGCACCACTGACGAGGGTGTCATCCAGGTGACCGAGGAGAGCTCCGTGCAGCTCCGGTTTTACGGGGTCCAGCTTCACTCGGGCGCCTGGTCTGAGATCCAGTTCACAGAGGTCAAGAAGGAGGAGGAGGAGGAGAAGGGGACGGTGGTGGCGGCGGCCCGGGGCGGCAGCGGCATGATGGACGCGCTCGATAAAACTTGTGCGGATTTCACGCAGGACATCACCGTCGGGAACTTCATAAACGTGAGCAGCCGGGGCACGTCGGGACTGCTCAACGTGCACATTAAGCCGCTGCGCAAAAGCGACCAGAAGAAAGAATACGCTCTGTGCACGTTGAGCACGGACGGCAGGTGGGTGCAGCTGGGGGACAGCGATGGCCGGATGCTGGTGGTGGAGGAGAAGAAGTCGCTGCTACCCATGTGGCTGCAGGTCATCATGATCTCGTGCCTGCTGGTCCTCTCGGGCATGTTCAGCGGGTTGAACCTGGGGCTCATGGCGCTGGACCCCATGGAGCTGCGGATCGTTCAGAGCTGCGGCACCGACAAGGAGAAGAAATATGCGAGGAAAATCGAACCGATCCGCAGCAAAGGCAACTATCTCCTATGCTCGCTTCTCCTGGGTAACGTTTTGGTGAACACCACCCTCACCATCCTCCTCGATGACCTCATCGGGTCAGGTCTGGGCGCCGTGGTCGCCTCAACAATTGGCATTGTCATATTTGGGGAGATCGTCCCCCAGGCGCTGTGCTCGCGTCACGGGTTGGCTGTGGGAGCAAACACGATCCTGGTCACAAAGTTCTTCATGTTCCTTACCTTTCCTCTGTCCTTTCCCGTCAGCAAGCTGTTGGATTTCCTGCTGGGACAGGAGATCGGCACTGTGTACAACAGAGAGAAGTTGGTGGAGATGCTTAAAGTGACAGAGCCTTATAATGACCTGGTCAAAGAGGAGCTTAACATGATCCAGGGAGCCCTGGAGCTCAGGACCAAAACTGTGGAGGATGTGATGACTCCCATAGCCAACTGCTTTATGATCCAGGCAGATGCTGTGCTGGACTTCAACACTATGTCAGAGATCATGGAGAGCGGATACACGCGCATACCCGTGTATGATGAGGAGCGGTCCAACATCGTGGACATCCTGTATGTGAAGGACTTGGCCTTCGTGGACCCGGACGACTGCACAAACCTAAAGACCATCACCAAGTTCTATAACCACCCTGTGCACTTTGTGTTTCATGACACAAAGCTGGATGCCATGCTGGAGGAGTTCAAGAAAGGTGGGTGTGCATTGACATAATCTAACACCTGATGATGTTTTGTTCTGAAAATCTGCAACCTTCATATCACCAGGGACCTAAACCTGTGTGAGCTCGACAGCCCCCCCTCTCTCTGTTCACCAGCACTATTGATTAGTGGAACACCACAGCCTACACACACACACAAAGCACATTTCATCATCGGGGCACATGTTGTACTACTCTTATAAGGGGTCAGGGTTGAGCTTTTAACCTGCACACACCTGATAAGGCTGTCATGAGGGCAGTGTATGTTTATGCATTCACTTATTAAAGATTGGAGAGCTTTAATTGTCCCATGCACAACAATACAACTAGCATAGCTGCAGTATAAAATTGAAACCCAATATGAAAAGGAATAAAAAGAAACTAGACAAACACTTATTTGGATAAACTGTCATATAAATGACAGTTTATTAAAAAAAATCCATAATATGTTTCTAACATGTGAAATAAGAAGTGCATCTAAGTTAATGTTATCATTGTGTCTGCTGAATATTTCTTTCATTAATCAAGTGATTAAGTCAAACATAAGGCCTAGATTAGTGGCTACGTGGCTGTTGGCCGTTTGGTGCCACTGGCTGATTTTGCAGGGTACAAAAATTAGCAGTAAGGTACATACATACATTTTTCACTGTATGTGGAAAAAAAGTAGTATCAAGAGATAACGAGATTAGCTGTGGTCCACCCACCCAATTTCTGAAATGCTTTTCTAATTCGGTGCACATCTGAATATTTGATAGTTTTCCCTTCATCCTAGTGACCAAAATACTACCCAGAGCTTAAACCACAATAAGATGGTTACAGTCAATGTGCGCTGCTGGTGGTCTGTTTGATATCCTAGCATTTTTTTTGTAATGATGTTAGCCTGGCTCAGTGTGGAAAAAGTTATTGACCACATAAAGCTAATCTGAGAATCTAATTGAGCTTTATGTGGTGAGGGTGACACCCCCAAAGTGTTGGGTCATAAAATTGCTTAGCAATATCTTGAACCCGCAGTTCACACTGATGTAAAGAAATGCAGCAACTTGCAGTTCAGACCTAAGAAAAAGTTATCTTTTCTATTATTTTTGTTTGAAAAACATTAACAATTAATTTCTAGAAAAACTGCTGATCTTGTCCTTTTCAGTGTCAGATAAGAAGTAGGGCAGCATTTACTTTTCTTATCAGTAAATACGCATATTTAGATCATTAATGGCAATTCATTTTTGCCTTCGAATAATTCAGTATACACTCTTCAGCCACTTGGAACACTAGAAATCTAATACACAGCTTATACTTTGTTTTCCAACATTTTAGTTCTTATGTCATATTCAGATATATATCAATACATTTTAATATAAGAAACAACAGTAAAAGGTCATGTTTCTGCTGTTATATTTTTATAACCGATAAATCTGTTCATTCTATATTTTTGCAGAGAACTGACACATCTCTATGCTATAAGAGTGCAGTTTCCTTGATTTCAATTATATCCACCCCTCATTTGTTCCAAGACACCATGATTGTTATGACAAAAATCTTCATTTAAGCCTTCGCAGTGGAACTTAATGACTCCCATGGGTGATGTCATGGTGGCTATCTCCATCTTTTCTGTTCATGAAGAATATGCCAAACTTTAGATGTTCTTAACATTTTATCCATTTTCAGTCATTTTTGGTTATTCTGGTAACATTCTGGCTGTCTGTCAGGGTTATATTGTTGATTGTCATTTATGCTTAGAAATATTTAACCATATATGCTTAGAGGTGTATAATCGATTGTGTAGTGATAGGATGTGTGATCCTTAGTAGTCTGCAAAGACTTTGTGTGCATTCCAGAGTGTTCTGGCATACACACTCACACCCTAGGGTCATGAGAGATCTCGTATCTTCTCTTACTGATATTCTGACCCCACAGTTGGCCATATTATTTTGCAAATTATTACATTAAAATGCTCCAGAAGGGATAGACAGTGTAGATAGTGTAGAGGACCAGTTCATTGACTCCAATCAGGTATAACTGATCCCGATCAGTTATACCTGATACCCAAATTAGCCACACCACTCCAGCATCCAAATGGATATATTGGGTTTTTTTTCTTTTTTAATGTCACCCACAGTACATTTGTTATGAAGGAGGAAAGGGTTCATAAAGGACAAAACCATTTTTATGCTAAATAGTAAAAATGCTTTTGATAATGTAAAGTTGGGTATCAACCTCAAGTTACTTCTAGAGGAACTGCAGTTTTTGTCACTTCACATTTACTTCATTTTTCACCCCAAAGTGAACATACTTGAGCTGTGCAAGTTTGCATATAAGCACAGCTCAGTGATAAAGATAAAGCAGAATCCGCACCATTTAAAACAATGTCAGCAAAAGTTAAAAATGAATTTGTGGCAGGGCTGTGATGTTAGATTGCATTGAATCTGCCTAGTAAAGTGGCTTTAAGTGAATGTAAAAGTAATTTTTAAAAAATGGGGAAAAATCAAGAATACAAATGTCACCATCAGAAGCATTTCAGCTTACCAGAAACGACAAACTAAAATATTTATAATTGTGTGCTGCAATGACTTAAACCTAAGTGGCCACAAGTTACTCCTTTAATTAAATCTGGCTGTGGATACCACTGATCATCTCTAGTCAGAGATCATCTCTAGCCTAATCACTCAAATCATCTGATTTGTGCTGTTTGATGGGACGAAAATCGGCACGTTCAGCCGTACAGGAGTAGTGCCAGAAATCCACTGATATACACACCTTGAAAGCTGAGCTTAATATCATAACAGCCTTGGCGCTGCAGCTGATTGTGATGGTCTTGCAACATATCAATGTGGTTTTTTTCCCCAGAGACATTAAAAACATTGCATTTCATTCTTTGACATTACATTTATAAGACTGTAGATATGAAAAGAACTACATTATGAAGCTCAGTCATTGTGGAACTGGCTGCATGCCTCATTTCCACCTGCTGCGAGATCGATCAACTTTAGACCAGACAACAAACTACGGAGGCTCCGGAAAAGTGCAATCAAACGATGAGTTTTATTATCACAGGAGAACAACCAACCATCAGCATACGGAATGGGTTGCTCTGACAAGAATACATTGGGTTCTGGTTTTATAGGATAAAATATCACACCTACGTCAATACAGTTCAAAAATACATGGTGACAGACGGGCAAAAGTTCAACCCGTGCAGACAAGGGTACATCACGTACACTTCTAATAACCATACACTGACATATTACTTCTCTTTTCTACATTACTTGCCTTTTAGGGTAATAACTTCAGGTCTCAGCATCTCTGAGAGCTAATAATGGACCCTCGTCCTTAATCACTAAGTAGAGTCCTTTGCAGCCAGTCTCAAACTGAAGCAGAAGACGCTTAGGCCTTCGCTCAGACCTGCTACTAGATTAATATGTGTATCGTAAGCGTGCATGCAATTAACCTGCTATGTTCTCATCTCCCCTCAGCATGTATCATTTGGACACTCTCACCAGTGAAGCTTAAAACCTTCTAGAATGGAACATCAACTCTAACCAAGCACATTTATGCATTGTGTATAAAATGAACTCAACCTGTAAAAATAGAAAGGTCAATGTGATGACAGACATATTCAATGCAATATAAACCCTGTAGGAAATATTACTGATAAATGATACTGTGAAACATGTTATTAATACATTCTTCATAAGGCAAATTATATGGTAGCAATAAAAGAATCTCTGAATCCCAACACACCCCAAATTGCAAAAGAATTAGTGTAATTTCAGCTGTCATTGCAAATAAGCATCACCTTCAGCTGTGGCTTTTTATAGCATCAAAGCCCAAGTCCTGCATGCATGATGCATAAGCCTAAATAAAGTGCCATTTGTCAAATTACCATGATAATAGCAAAACAGGAAATCAAGGTCTCCATAGTATTTTGGGCAATCTGATGTCAACAATTCAGTTTAAAAAATTGGATTTTTATATTTCAGCCCATTAATCTTCAACAACATGAGCACATTTTTGATGAGAGACACTTTTTGTTTAAGGTTAGAAACTGAACTTGTCTGCTAAAAATGTGCTGCAAGGAGATGGCGTTCAAACCTTCTGTGGGGGGTGGGACTGATGGTGGTAGTAGTGCTGTCTGATGTATGAGTCATGTTTTTGGCTGCTGGCTACCACATTGCTAGGACTGCACACTACAGTGCTAGCAGTCGTGGCTTTGTTTGGTCATGGTAGGCTGTCTTTATGATGGGTCATAAGAGACTAATTCTCACTTTAATAGTTTCATAGTTCCAGGTGAAATATTTTGAGTGGGAGGGAATAATTTATGGGAGCTTGAAGCAAATTAGTGAAGCATCTGTGGTTTTGTGAGTTACCCAGTGGTCTATTTTCCTACCTTTACAAGTGGGTACAAGTGGCAGGAATGAACTTGCTTTGAAGGGTGCCTAGGCTCAGCATTAGAGATCATCAGGAAGGGCTCAGAGTAGAGCTGCTGGTCCTCCACAGTGAAGGGAGTCAGTTGATGTTGTTCAGGCATCTGTCTAGGAAGCCTCCTAGGTAAGGTGTTCCAGGCATGTCCAAGTAGCAGAAGACCCTGTGACAGACCCAGGACATGCTGGATGCGAAAACCTCTGTCTCCCCAGGCGTGGAGGAGGGAAGTGGGCATCTCTGCTTAAACATGTCAGAAGAAAATTGAGGGATAATTTTTTTTTTTTTAATTTTAGAATCATTTCTTAACACAGAACATTTTTTAAAATGTTTTTAAAGCACATGTAGGAAGAAGAAAGCTGTTTGATAGAAATCTTGATGTCAAAGTCATTTTTTTTGCCTCATGGGGCAAATGTTTGAATCTGTTGGCTGAAGCTGCTCACTATTCAAACTACTGATGATATATTGATGCACTGAAAGCACTAAGCCTCAAACAGTGGCTGTTTGAGTACATGAAGAACTATAAATTATATAATATATTTATATGTATGCCGTGAATCATTCAGTCATATTCAGGCTCTTAACACCAGGGATAAACCAGTGTCATGTCTACACGTAATGGACAGCTTGGCAATTAATCAATTTTAAATTAAATTATTAGGCACCTTGTTGCTTGGGGCCTTTTGCAAAAGCACATACGGTAAGTTGTTTCCTTGTATTTACTGAAACTATAAAACTTGTGAAAGATAACAGTTTCACAGGCATGCAATAGTATTTTTGTACCATTAAGATCTCAAAAAGCTATTAGCCCAAAATCTGGCATATCTCAGCATGGCATGCAGAGTGTCCTGACAGAGGACCTGAGAGATACATCAGCCTATGGTGTCAAGGTTGCTGGTGAAAGAGTGGCTTTCAAGAAGCTATACTTAAGGATGGGAAATGGAGAGAAAAAGCTGAGGTATGCCATTACACTAGAAATGGATTGAAATTCAGTGGTAACAGGTTTATGGAGTGATGAATCCAAATGTGAAACTTTTGGTTCAAGTCACACAGAGGAAGTTAGAAAAGAAGTACCACAGTGAGTGTCCACAGACATCTAGAAAACATGATGGAGGTTCTTTCATGGGTTGGGGTTGCATTTCAACAAGTGGTATTGGGAATATGGTCAAAAGTACAGTCCCAATTAAAATAAATTAAAAATTTTGCATGGTGGTAGAGCTTCAACATGCAACAAAAAGAAATGGGAGTGAGACAAAAAAAATTTTGAGCATTTTACAGCTGATCAAAAGTTTAAGATCACATGCCTTTAAAAGGCCAAATCTGTGCAAAAATGTGGATTAATTGTCATTTTCTGTCAGGTAGTCACACTGACATTCTCATTGCAAAGGCAAAAAAAAATTTCCCTTTTTGAATGTGTTCGGTTGTTGAACTGCATAAGCAGTTTCTCTCACAGTGTGCCATCACTGCTGAGGTGGGACGCATTAAGACAGTCATTTGGAATTCCTTAAATGATCCGGAGGATTATGGAACAAGAAAGTCAAGTGGAAGACCCCCAAAAATTTCAGTGCTGGTGTCTTGACAGACAGCCACTGGACGATTCTCGACCCAAATTAAAGCCGTTACTGGTGCAGGCTGCAGCCCAATAACCATCAGATGGCATCTGAGACTGAAGGGCTTCAAAAACAAAAAACGTCTTCAAAGGCCTCGTCTCCTTGAACTCCCACAGAACCGACAGTTTGGACTTTGCAAGAGAGCAACAAACATGGGATATTGGAGGTTGAAGAAAGTTTTATTCTCTGACGATAAAATTTTTTACCTTGATGTTCCTGAATGTTACCCACCCCAGCCCGCCACCTCTCACCATGGGGAAATTCCAGACTGAGACAGAGTCCAGCCCCTCTCCAGGAGGCTGGTTCCAGAGCCCAGGCCATGCGTTAAGGTGAGCCCGACTATATCTACCTCTCAACCTTACACACTAGCTCAGGCTCCTTCCCCACCAGAGAGGTGACATTCCATGTCCCAATAGGTACCGACATGCAAAGCGGAATGCGGCGCGGGTGGTGGCTGAAGCAAAAACTCGGGTCTAGGAGGAGTCCGGAGAGGCCATGGAAAAAGACTTTCAGGCTGCCTTGAAGAGATTCTGGCAAACTGTCAGGCGACTCACTAGGGGAAAGGGGTGTTCTACCTGCACTGTGTATAGTGCGGGTAGAGTGCTGTTGACTTTGACTGAGAAAGTTGTTGGGCGGTGGAAGAAATACTTCGAGAACCTCCGCAATCCCACTGGCTCGTCTTCCGTTGCAGAAGCAGAGTCTGGGGATGAAGGGGATGACCCGCCAATCTCTGGGGGCGAGGTCACTGAGGCAGTTAAACAACTCCTTGGTGGCAGAGCCCCTGGGGTGGACGAGGTCTGCCCAGAGTTCCTGAAGGCTCTGGATGTTGTAGGGCTGTCTTGGTTGACACGTCTCTACAATGTTACGTGGAGATCAGGGGCAGTACCCCTGGACTGGCAGACCGGGGGTAGTGGTCCCCATCTTAAAGAAAGGGGACCGGAGGGTGTGTTCCAACTACAGGGGAATCACACTCCTCAGCCTCCCTGGGAAAGTCTAAGCCAGGGTGCTGGAGAGGAGAGTCCGTCCGTTAGTCGAACCTCGGAAACAGGAGGAACAGTGCGGTTTTCGTCCTGTTCGTGGAACACTGGATCAGCTCTTTATCCTCTTGAGGATGCTTGAGGGTGCATGGGAGTTTGCCCAACCAGTCTACATGTGTTTTGCGGACTTGGAAAAGGCATTTGACCGTGTCCCTCGGGGGTCCTGTGGGGGGTGCTCCAGGAGTATGAGGTGTCTGGCCCATTGCTACGGGCCATTCAGTCCTTATACAACAGTTGCAAGAGCTTGGTCCGCATAGACGGCAATAAGTTGACTCGTTCCTGGTGAGTGATGGGCTCTGCCAGGGCTGCCCTTTGTCACCCATTCTGTTCATAATTTTTATGAAATTATAATTTTTATGAACGGAATGTCTAAGTGTAGCCAAGTGGGAGAAGGCTTTCACTTGGGTGGTCTCAGGATTTCATCTCTGCTTTTTGCAGATGATGTGGCTCTGTTGGCTTCATCAGGTGATGGACAGCTTTCCTTGGAACGGTTCGCAGCCGAGTGTGAAGCAGTGGGAATGAGAAACAGCACCTCCAAATTTGAGGCCTTTGTCCTCAGCCGGAAAAGGGTGGAGTGCCCATTCCGGGTCAGGGACGAGTTCCTGCCCCAAGTGAGGGAGTTTAAGTATCTCGGGGTCTTGTTCACGAGTGATGGGAGAAGAGAGAGGGAGATCAACAGACCAATTGGTGCAGCGGCTGCAGTGATGCGCACACTGTACCTGTCCCATATGGTGAAAAGAGAGCTGAGTGTAAAAGCGAAGCTCTCAATTTACCAGTCGATCTACGCCCCTACCCTCATCTATGGTCACGAGCTGTGGATAGTGACTGAAAGAACGAGATGGCGAATACAAGTAGCGGGAATAGGGTGGCTGGCGAGAAGTTTGTCCATTCGGGAGGGGCTCAGAGTAGAGCTGCTGCTCCTCCATTTCGAAAGGAGCCAGTTGAGGTGGTTTGGGCATCTAACAAGGATGCCTCCTGGGTGAGGTTTTCCGGGCATGTCCCACCGGGAGGAGGCCCCAGGGCAGACCCAGGACACGCTGGAGAGATTATATCTCTTGGCTGGCCTGGGAACGCCTTGGTGTTCCCCCGGACAAGCTGGAGGAGGTGGCTGGGGAGAGGGAGGTCTGGGCTTCTCTGCTTGGGCTGCTGCCAACGCGACCCTGCCGCGGATAAGTGGAAGAAAATGGATGGATGGATGAATGGATGGTCCCGAATGTTTCCAACGTTATTGGCATGACTGGAGGTGTGGAGGTGTGGTCCAAAACTTTTAATCAGCTGTATAGCAGCCTGCTTCAGTGTAAGAGTTGTTTTCAACAAATTGCATGCTCAAAAAATGTTTTTTCTCTCTCCCATTTCTCCTTGCTGCATATTGAGGCTCTACTTGGAACCTTGTTAAGATCCAAGCATGCATAATATGCTTTTTTCTTTTTGTTGTTGTCATTTTTCGTGTGGTCTTAATCTTTTGATTTGGGCTGTATCATCAGATTTTAATCTACCATGCAATACGAACTGGAAAGTGTATGATGGGCAACTGCTTCGGTTTTCAGTATGAAAATTATCCAAAAGATATTGTCAATGCAGTAAATGCATAACCTGGACATAAAAACACACAACACTTCAGTAAGTCACTGTGCCTGTTTCCTTGCAAAATATAAAGAAGTAATGGGTTGCTCAAGACCTTTTCAAAGCAGATCAGGTGAAAAAGGCTGGGAATGAAACACTGTTTAAAGGTTCACCACTGGAGTTGATGAAACCTATTGAAACAAAATAAATGTTTTCTTGCTGAAAATGGACGTTTCTGTTTCTTTTACTTCATACAAATCAGTGAGCACCATGGAGGCCAAAAGTAGATAGTGCTTCTGCTTCTGCTGGTGTTTGATGACCATGAACTGTGACAGGTTTCCATCCTGCTGACCTGATAATGTTTTTACTTAACTCTTACTGGCAGCCATTGCTCATCATGTTGTATCAGGTTTAGTTGTTTGCACACAGTGCTGCATGCAGTCGGTGCATGTGGGGAGTGTTGTGAGAACAATGCAGAGTCATGAGTGCAATAATGCTTTGTGTCCTCTTGTTATATACCTCTTTCTACTTAGCTTCGTTCTCCTCCTGCCTCTCTCTCTGTCTCACTTCTCTTTATCTCATTCTGGCAGTCCTTCCAACTCTTTTCTCTTCAAAGCTCTTAGCCTAGTCTGGGCTATATTAAGGCATGAGTCTGCCCTCTCATCAGTCAGGATAAATCCACTGACAGATCGAATAGCAGTGTGACTTTTGTAAAACAAAAAAGGATGTTTTCTTGTAGCAGGAGCTAAATCTGTCTAAAGGCTAGATGCTGAAGTTAAAGACGCAGCAGCTGCACTGAAACTCGCTAACTTCTTCTCCTCTGTCGTGTTTGATGCTGCCCCACTTTCATGTTAAATGATTTCTGGAAACATAGGGAATTTAAAATGATGAGAAAAATGATATGCATGTTCTACAGTGCTCTTGTTTCTCATAACCTTTAGGTGATCTGTGTCCTCACCAGGTAAATCTCATTTGGCCATCGTCCAGAAGGTGAACAATGAGGGGGAGGGAGATCCTTTCTATGAGGTGCTGGGATTAGTCACCTTAGAGGATGTTATCGAGGAGATCATCAAGTCAGAGATCCTGGATGAATCTGACCTCTACAGTGAGTCAGCTCTTGCTAATTGCTGACTGCAGCACTCACATAAATGTTATAACACATAAACACTCACTCACCGACAAAAGCACTGGTACAGTGATACAGCAGCACATGTACACAGGACCTGTACTTAGAGATGATTGCTGTGTTGTCCTACTCATAATATATATAATTGTATATAATTTAAATGTTAAATAAAATCCCCACAGCCTCCCATGTTAAAGTGTCCAACTTTATGATATTTATATTGTTAATGATCACATTAACATGACTAAGGTCTGAAAAGCTCAACCTTTAATAACTCACATGATGGAGTGTTTTTATGTCCCTAATAATTTGACTTGCTGTAAGTTGCAGACCACAAAAGTTGTTCCTTTAGTTTTAATGAGTATATTTTTAATATTTTATTATTCATTTGCCTGACACGTATTGCTTTGCGTTACACCTGTATAGCTTATGAATTCACCTTGGTAAACAAGCTGACTAGCATTACCTTATAACTTCTCAAAGTCAAAGTAAACTTTATTGTCATCTCTGCTATATACAGTACAGTACAGACGAGGCTCCAGTTCCATTCAGTGCAAAAGACAACAATAAATATAAGAAGAGAAATAAATATACGCTTAGGTACGTAAGGTAAAAGGATCAATAACAATTTTAAATTTACAATTTACAGGTTTAATGATTTAAAGTGACCAGTGTAGCAGCTTGTAAACATGAGATTCTTGAGGGTAGAATTGTCCATAGAGCAGCATCTGCATTACAAAGGCAGTGGTATGTGGAGTGCAATAGAGTCAGTTAGTTAACGGTTTGTGTGGGACACCGTAAAAAAACACTGAAATTGCCGGAGTGCTATCAGCTGGTGCCTGCTCGTGCTGCCTCCTCCTCTTTGACTTTCACCTTTCTAAGTTTAAACTTTTTTGAAATTTTAACAGAGCAAAACATGACTTTTCATTTAATTTCATTCATTTTTACTATTATTTAAACTCCTATTTCTTTTCTTTCTTGCCACAGCTGACAACAGGAACAGGAAGAAGGTGGATCCCAACAAAAGCAAACGCGACTTCTCAGCGTTCAAGCAAGAAGGGGACAGTAAGGTGAAGATCTCTCCTCAGCTCCTACTGGCAGCTCATCGTTTCCTGGCCACAGGTGATATTCACTAGGCAATAATCTTACATTTAGCCAGCACACATTTGTTTCAGTGCCACTGACTATTATCCCCTGCTGAATCACAGCCACTGTCTGTACATGCTATCTTTTAGTATGCAAATTAACAGGGCTTAAACTAATCAGCTGATTTTTATTTATTGACTGTAAAATGCTATAAAGTTATCTACTAAAAACCTCTCAGTCAATAATTAGTCCAAGGCCTGTATTTTCTGCTGTTTTAATTTGATCGTTTACAATGCCTTTTTTTCTCTCCCATTAGAGGTGAGCCTGTTCAGCCCATTCCAGATCACAGAGAAAGTCCTACTGAGGATCCTCAAACATCCGGATGTCATCCAGGAACTAAAGTTTAATGAAAATGATAAACGATCGCCACAGCACTTCCTCTATCAGAGAGGCAAACCTGTCGACTACTTTGTTCTCATTCTGCAGGTAAAAACACATTCATATAGTCTGTAGAAATGGTGACATCACCTATATGATTTGGTGGTAATCAGGAGTATGTCTGGGACTTTTGAAATACTGTTTCACTACCAGTTGGTGAGTAATTGGTGAGTGTTTGCAGACAAATTGTCATGTTCCATACAACCTATTGACAATCTCCTGAACACCAAACACCGTTTTTGATGCAGCACCATAAAATTCTTTATGACCAAGTACACTTTGGTCAAGTTCTCACAACTGGCTGTGGAATAGTCATTTTTTCCCCTAGGGCATAGGTGTCAAACTCTGGCCCGCGGGCCAAATTTGGCCCGCAGCCTAATTACATTTGGCCCGCGAAGCCATACCAAATTACTATTAGAGCTGGCCTACTGGTATTATACAGCTAGTATATATATTGTTTAGTATTAAGCTTTGCTTGTTCCATATTCAGTTTTTCAGCAAAACGTGTTTTAGTCCATAAGAAAAGATTCATTCTTATATCTGGAGGAATAAATATATTTCAATAAATATTAACATTAGCCCGCGACTTTGTTCCAGTTTTGAATTTTGGCCCACTGTGTATTTGAGTTTGACACCCCTGCCCTAGGGACTGGTGGTTCCCAGCTAGTCTCTATGAGATTTCTGCCCAAGTATGCTAATAAGTTAAAAACACTAAAGTTGCACACCACTCCAAACCTAGCTGACTAACCAAAGATAAAGTGACTGTCATTGCTAACAGAGTCTGATGGCTTTGAAGCTAGAGATAAAGCCTTGAGTTGCGCATTGGTGAAAATATTGCAAAAATATCATACACTTAGACTGATAAAGATCATTTAAGGGGTGACTACAATAACAGTATGTTTTGTGGTTTTACCACTGCTCATTCATCTTAACATCAGTCAGATAATAGGCAAAAATCTGACTCCATGTGACACTTTCACTCATTGCCTGCTTCATTTATATATCAAAAAATAAATGCACAAAGAAATGTAGAAATAAAAAATCAGAAACAATGCATGTGGAGAATGATACAGGCAGAGAAGTACAAAATCAAATGAATGAATACATAGTGTAAGTGTTCACTTCAATTCAATTGTATTCATTTAGCATCAAATCATAGTTATCTTAACGTGCTCATAGTCTCCTCAAACCACTGAAAATGTGAAAGTTTATACATTTGTAAACCAAATGTCAATTAAATTGACACTAAATAAAAAGTACTCTACATTGTATTTTTGGGATTCATGATTTATTCTTTTTTGAGTCTCTTATTGATTTATCGATTCATTTATCTATTTTCATTTTGGCATAGATTTCAAGGGTCATAATGTAGTCAGACTGGATGACGTAGATTGACCTGCTTAATCTGGTGACCAACAGGTTTATCTCTGGTTGTTAGAGTGGTTGGTGGGTGTGTGTGTGTGTAGGGGTGATTTGCACACATGCAGGCTCTAAACACCTTTCGAGTCTGTACCTGACTTAAGGTACTTACAGTGTACAACAAAAGTGTGCATGCCCTTAGGAGGGTATTTGGAGAATTGAGTACGAATTCTCTATTTAGTGTTTCAAAGCAAGATGCAGATGAATACACATACGATGGCTGTGTCTGCTGTGCTGAGGCGAAACTGTTGTTAGTTTCTGTAGGCTTTGTTGTCAACACCTGAGGTGTGGATAGAGGGACTCTACATGCTCAGTGTGCAACCTGAGCAGAACTGCTCCCATTCCATCACCACTTGGCTGTGTGTGTGTGTGTGTGTGTGTGTGTGTGTGTGTGTGTGTGTGTGTGTGTGTGCACACGTGTCTGTCTTGGTGAGGACCAGTTTGATCCTTATACCTTGGAAAATGTAGATTTTAGCTTGTCTTTATTGACAGACCTCGTGGCGCTGCATTGAGTTTTAGGTTGGAATCAGATCAGTGCAGCATTTATGTTAAAGGTTAAATTAAGGCAGTGTATTATCGGGAGTCCTGAGAGCAAGGAAAGCACAAACGTCTATGTGTTGATTTGTTTGAGGTAAAGAGACACTGAACCCTACACTGGAGTGCCTGCGGCAGGATGTAATATTTATAGGAGGCTAAGGTGTTTCTCTTACATGTCATAAGACCCGACTCGTGGATTTTTCACTGCAGAGGCTCCAGGTCACACATGTATCACATAGACAGTCTGGTTCCTGCAGGTCCTGGAAAGCCTGAAAACCTTTTGAGGTTTTGATTTACTGCCCTGGAGGACAATCCTGGAAATAAGGGAAATAGTAAAATGTCCTGCAAAACAGGGTGTGAGGAAAGATGTTCAGCAACATGATTAAGGTAATATAGCTGGCTGAGAGTATTACTGGAAATGTGATACATTCAAAAGTGCAAAAACATTTGGGCTTTTGCATTACTAATCATGCCAGTTTGGTAAAGGCAACATGGATCATTAAACAACAACCCAAAACAACAACTAATGAAATGCTATGGAAGTAACTCTATTTTACGCCCTTTTAAATTCAGTAAAAGGACTAGATGTTGTACTCCCTGATAATGCATAGCTTTAAATGGCGAGAATCTTGAGGGATGACTGTTATGAGGAAAGGCAGCCCAGAAACGTTACCAGCAGCACACATCGTTGTGTGCCTCAACTTTTGGTCTTTTACCAAGCTAATCTGCCATTGTTTGGGGGGGGGGATTAGAGATCTGATCTAGGTTATCATATTAAGATTTGGGACACATCATCAGTAATGGACAATCCAAGGAGGTCCTGCCAGGGTTGATCAGGCCCTGCAGTGTGTCACTGGTTTATGTTAAGTTGTTATTTCTCCTATTCTTTCTTCTGTTTATTTTTGTACAGTTTATTTTCTCCTATCTATTCACTGCAACTGAGAAATAATACTTACCTCTTTAGCATTTATGGAGCTTCACTTCTTCAAAGGGATAGAAAAGGTACAAGATAGGAGAGAGGAGAGCCGGAAGGGGGGCATCCGATCTGGCTTCCCACAGCTGCCCGCTGGATTGGGCTGTACGCTCTACCTCCCCACCACCTCCCAGAAAAGGGAAGAAGAGCAGAGGGGAGAAGAGCATAATATTTTCTTTTCTCTCGCGGTTAGCTGACTGCTGTAGCTGCCCAAGTGATGTCAGCCCTTTTTAACCATATCCAGTGACTGGTCCTCTCAGCAGTGTTAGCTAGTTCTCTTATAGCCTGCCGTTGCGCCTGTCCTCTGATCCCAATCTCTCTAAGCAGTTTTGCTGTTGTACTGGCAACAAAGTCCGTGCACTCCACTTCCACCGGGCGCACCTTGATCTTCCAGCCTCTGTCCTCTGCCTCAGCTGCCAAGTTGGCATACCACAGCTTCTTATGCTGAAATGCTTCCTCTAAAAAAACATTTTGGATCTTTCAGACTTTATATATTCATAAAAACAAATTGACCATTTCTCATAAACAGTAGACCAAGCCTAGCGTTGCTGACATATTGAGTCAGGATGTAGTGGTTTTAGATCTTAATGTGGTCTGCATGGTAGAAGTGGAGGCTGTGTGGTTACAGAAGCCAGTAAACAGGCTGATGCTAAAGTTGTGCACAAAATTTTCTGCAGGAGTCAGATGTGGTTTTCAAGGAGATGTCTCTGTTATTGTCTGATGGAAAATCTCTTTTGGTCATTAAATGATAGACATATAGAAGACCTTTCCACAAAGATAGTTTTAGCTTAGCAGCCTGGTCCCCATCTAAGCCTTGTGTTACTGAAAATGTTTGGAACGGTCACTTCTTCATCAAAGATTTCCCTAGTTTGTGTTTGTCTCTGTGTTTGTGTATTTACGTTTGCATTCGTATTTGTATTACAGGGACGGGTGGAGGTTGAAGCCGGAAATGAGAACATGAAGTTTGAAACTGGCCCGTTCTCCTACTATGGAGTCATGGCTCTAAGCACACCAACAATGGGTGAGACACACGTATACCAACACATGTGCATTTACATTTGTACCATTTACTGACCCAAATACAAAATTGAAGCTGTGTTCTTCCTATCCCAGACAAACTTGTCAGTTCAGATAAAACTGAAGTCTCCGTGATAGTCACTGGGTTAGAGTGTTATAAGCTGTTTCTGCCCCTGTTCTTTGTGCCAACTTGGAGGTCTTGATATTCGTGTGTTTCAAATATGAGCATAAATGGCTTTGAACTTGTGCAGCACTTCAGTTTCATGGTCTGTAATGGAACAACCTAAGAATAAATTGGGAATTGATAAGAATTTAGCTATTCTGATTCCATCATCCATATCACTTATGTGTTAGCAGTATAATGCAAGTGTTTCTGTTCTTTACACTTTACCATTGCACTCTTGTAAAAATAAAAGTAATCTCCATATCCACACAGTAGACTGGGCCATTAATTTCCTTCTCCAGCACACAAACTGAAACCAACTGACAGACTAAATATTCCAAGGAATTGAATTTCTGGGTTCTCAATTTCCATCATGGAAGGACCGGCCCCTGCATGTTATGCATCACCGGCAGATGGAAGAAGTGGCTGACATCCAGAAATCCTACCAGGGGCTGGACTGAAAGACAGCACAGGAACAAGCTCTAAGTATAAAATCCATAGAGGCTGGAGTCTACCACACCAGGCAAGACCCCAGTTGCAGGCTGTGTAAAGATGCCCCTGAGACACTCCAGCACATCACAGCAGGATGCAAGGATGTTGGCAGGCAGGGCATACGTGGAACGCCATAAACAAGGCGCCGGCATAGTGTACAGGAACATCTGTGTTGAGTATGGCCAGGAAGTCCTGAGGTCAAAAGGGTGGTCGACAATGAGCCATGCTAAGATCCTTTGGGGCTTCCAGATACAGATGGAAAAAATGGGGGTGGCTAATCAACCAGACATAATAGTGGTGGACAAGCAGAGGAAAACGGCTGTAGTGATACCGAATGACAGCTACATCAAGAAGAAGGAACACGAGAAGTTTGAGAAATACCAAGGCTCAGAGAAGAGCTCGAGAAGATGTGGAGGATGAAGGTAACAGTGGTCCCAGTGTTAATCGGAGCGTGTTATATAGCGCTCACTCCGATGGATGAGCAATTTGGGGTTAGTATCTTGCCCAAGGATATTTGGCATGTAGACTAGGGGAAGCCAGGAATCAAACCACCAACCTTCCGATCAGTGGATGACCTGCTCTACCACCTGAGCTACAGCCACCCCTATATATACCAACTCTTCATGTGAATCAAAAGGAATGCACATTGCAAGAACTAAACACATTTTCTTGGCTCAAAGTTTCTGGGTGATAACTATGCACATAAGAATAATTAGTCACATGTAATTATGTCTGGTACCTTATTTGATAGAGATCTTTATGTTTTCCTGGAGGCTTATGGAAGCTGAAAGTTTAGAATCCCAATTCCCCGATTCCAAAAGAACTTCGATGCTGCTTGAAATATTAAAAAAATAATATTTCCGAAACTCATAAATCTATATTTATGTGTTCGCAAAGATTATGACATGTGGGGAAAAAAGGCAAATGTAAACATGATCCAGATCCTGATTCAAAGCTCATTTAGAATGGATTTAGTGATAAGTGATAAGTGATAAGTTAGCAGCGATGCAGGTGGATGCTTCTCTGGTGTCCTGGATTGTTGATTACCTGACAGGAAGACCACAATATGTACGTCTCCCACAGTGTGTGTCTGACAAGGTGATTAGCAACACAGGGGCACCACAGGGGACTGTCCTCTCCCCCTTCCTCTTCACCCTCTACACCACAGACTTCAGCCACTGCACAGAGACCTGCCATCTTCAGAAGTTTTCTGATGACTCTGCGGTGGTTGGATGCATCAGCAGGGATGATGAGACAGAGTACCGGGCTGTGGTCGACTCCTTTGTCACGTGGTGTGAGCAGAATCATCTGCAGCTCAACGTGGCAAAGACCAAGGAACTGATCGTGGACTTCAGGAAGACCAGGAAACACTTGACCCCTGTTTCAATCCAGGGAGTCAGTGTTGACATTGTGGAGGACTATAAATACCTTGGAGTACACATTGACAATAAACTGGACTGGGCTAAAAACACCACAGCACTTTACAGGAAGGGCCAGAGTCGTCTCTATTTTTTGAGGCGACTGAGGTCCTTCAACATCTGCCAGAAAATGCTGAGGATTTTCTATGAGTCTGTGGTGGCCAGTGCGATCCTCTATGCTGTTGCATGCTGGGGGAGCAGGCTGAGGGTCGCAGATGCCAACAGACTTAATAAACTGATCCGTAAGGCCAGCAATGTTGTGGGGATGGAGCTGGACTCCCTCAAGGTGGTGTCGGAGAGGCGGATGCTGTCCAAGATAAAGACAATGTTGGATAACACCTCCCACCCACTCCATGACATGTTGGTCAGTCACAGGAGCTCGTTCAGTGAGAGACTGAGATTACCGAAAAGCACCACTGAACGACACAGGAAATCATTCCTGCCTGTGGCCATCTCCCTGTACAACGCATCCACTTAACACACTGTTTGCTGCTACAACTACACATGTTTCTTTTCCAAATATTTATTTATAAGTGACTTATGTATGTATGTATGTATATATATGTATATATTGTACTATTCTTAGTTAGCGTATTGTCTGTCTTGTCTTAATGTTGGTTTAAAATGGAGCACTGTAACAAAAAATAATTTCCCCCAGGGATCAATAAAGTATTCTGATTCTGATTCTGATTCTGATTTAAGCAAAACCAAAAACTGTTTTGCGGTCAATGAATCAAAATGAGAAATTCTTTTGGAAAACATGGATGCAGCATTATTTTGAATTTTGTGCTTCATATGCAGGTAAAACTTTGATTAAATTTGAGTAAAGTTACGCAAGGCTATGTAAAAAATTTCTGAGTTCATGTAAAACTTATTGTCAGATAATGTAAAAGTATAGCAATTAAGGCAAATCTTATTTGGAACTGGCACACAAATCTTTTGAGGAACTTACGTTACCTTGTTGAAAGGTAATGTTTGCAAGGTAACTCTAAAATGTTGTAGAGTTATGTTAAATTTACCATGAAGTTGTGCAAATACATTCCCATGTACAGATCTCTCACTTGGTTTTGGCTCTCACTTCACTATCTCATTACCTTCTTTTATAACTCATAGTAATGTTTTGTGTAGCTTCATCTGTGTAGATTAATTAATTTCAAACTTTCATATAGTGACTTATTTCATATAGTAACCTATATGGGATTTATCAGAGATGTTCCTATCACATTTATCAGCTGTACATTCTTACTGTTCACCTGTTGTGTCACAGGTAATATGGCCTGCAGTTCTCCAGCTGTAGACTCATCTGTGTGCTTCCATAGTGTTGTCTGTTTGCTACAAAGATTTAAATGCATGATGATATTGCTTGGGTTTGAAGCATATCTATCTGACAGATTCCAGTTTGTGTATGTAAATGGGGAGTCTTCTTCAGCAGGGTTTTGTGCTGGGACCAATACTTTTTACATTATACATGCATTCCTTAGACAATACTATTAGGAAACACTGCATAGGTTTTCATTGTTATGCAAATGATACCCAGCTTTATTTATCCATGAAGCCATATGATACAAATCAGCCTGTAAAACTACAGTCACGTCTTAAAGATATAAAAGCCTGGATTGATCTGTTTTTTTGTTTTTTTTTAACTTTTACATTTCAATAAAACGGAGGTTATTGTACTCAGTCCTAGGAATCTTAGAAACACAATGTCTCACTAAATACTTGAGATGACATTACCGTGGCCCATCACTGTGTCAGAAATATGCTGAAAAGCTAGCTTACATTTATTACATCTAGGCTGGACTGTTGTAATTCAGTATTTTCAGGTTGCTTGAAAAACTCCCTTAAAAGCCCCTCAGTTGATCCAGAATGCTGCAGCGAGGGTACTGACAGGGACTACAAAGAGAGAGAATATTTCTCCTACATTAGTGCTCTTCACTGACTCCTTGTTAAAATCAGAATTGAATTTAAAATAATCTTTAGATTCAAAATCTTGAATAATCAGGCCCTGTCATATCTTAAGGACCTCATAATACTTCAGATATATCATATCATATATCATCCTATGAAAGCACTTTGCTCTCAGACCGCTGGCTACTTGTGGTTCCTAGAGCTTTTAAAAGTAGGTAGAGCTTTTAGCTGTAAGGACCCATTTCCACGGAACCATTTCACAATTTGGATTCAGAAGACAGATACCATTAATATTAAACTTAAAACTTTAATTTTAGATAAAGCATATAGTTAGGGTGGGTCATATGACAACAGGCTGAGGCTGCAGTGGGTGCCCATAATACATTTTTATCACTTTTTACTATCTGTGTTTTTATACACCGCTTCTGTATTTATTAATTAGCAGTTAATTGAATTAAACTCTTGCGCTCTCTCTCTCTCTCTCTCTCACTGTACTTTGCCCTCACCCACAACCTGTTCCGATGAATTGCTGCTCCTTTTCCTTCCAAGTGCTTGCTCATAGGGGGGCTGTGTGATTGTAAGCCTTACTTTGAGGCAACAGTTGTTGTGAATTGGGGCTATTTGAATGGAATTGAATTGAATCTCATGTTCCATCCATCCTATAAATTGCGTCTCCTATTGTATCTGGAACCTACGTAGCTTGAATTGGATCTGTAGGAAATTGTCATTTCTGTCATGAGTGTGTCTGTACCCCTGTTAACAAAGGGTTGACAGGAGACCAACATGTTAGACAAGCTGCCCCTGACTCTGCTTGGAGATCAGTTACAATCTGCATGTTATTATTCAAATACAAAAATATGGAAACAGAAGTAGCATTTGCAAGTAAATTAATCAGTTACTCAGTGACTTGTAATCTTAACACATGAGTTTTCTCACACCAAACATATTGGTTAACTTGTGATGTAGAGGAGTTAGAATGTAGTCTATAGAAGCTTTTAATAACTCTTTCAGCATAATATCTGTTTCTTTCTGTAAAACTCACTGCACTCCATCCTGTGCTAAAGTTGCAAGTTGACGCAAAAGAATTATGTAGTAATACAAGTGTTATTGTAGTAGTTATGCATGTATTGCATGATAATGTCAACGTAGTCCTCAAAAGAATTCTAGAAAACTGTTCTAGCTTTACATTTTTTCAGAACTTGTTGAAAATGTCTAAGAAATGAGAAATGGCCAAAATGAAGGCTCTAAAAAAACCAAAAGAAAAACCAGTAGTCTGGTGGTATTTTCTGTGGCCAGTTTACAGATTAGCTGATTGTTTCTCCTGAGTTGAACCTCCCAGGCTGTTGAGAGGATTTCTGTTATAGAAGGTTAAAAGGTTAATCCAGCAGTTTAGCACTGCACTTGCCCTGCAGTGACATATTCTGTCCATAAGTGTGTGTCCCTATCCACACCTGCTCTTTTATATGCTTTTTGTTGTAAAGTCATGTTACTGCAGCCTAATTAGAGAAAAAAGCACCTTAAGGTTCGCCTTTTTGAGAAGTTTACCTGAACTTGTGTGGATGAAAGAGAGTCCTTAACACTGAAGCCTGTTTTTCATTGTATAAAGGAAGCATCAAATACATTAACACTTAGACCCGAGCTTTAGTCCAATTAAATGGCGTCCCTTCAGTGCTGTATTACAAGTTTTATGAACTAGGTCATGGGTTCACCATCATTGCTATAAAAACAAGGTATTTTTGATCAGTGTATCACAGGGACAACTAACAAATCATTTAATCTCACTTTTATACCTATGGCCAATTTAATATTCCCGCTTAAGATAATCTATGCATGTCTTTGGATGGTAAATGAAGGTTGGAGTGCCTGGAGAGAGCACACTGAAATAATTTCCCCTGTATTTTTGTAGGGTCTCTACCTTGGAATAAGCATCTTGAGGCTACTACTGTTGTAATTCGGTGGTGTATAAATACAGTTGAATTGAAACAATTCAACAATTGAAAGCACGGAGAGAACATGCAAACTTGACGAGTTGACGAGTGAATTTGAACACAGAACCTTCTTGCTCTGAGGCAATAGTGCTAATGACTGTGGTTAGCACTGAAAACAGGTTGACTCAATGACTGCAAGATGCTCAGGTCCTATGGTTGCAAAACAAGTCCAAATCATCACTCCTCCACCATACTTGACAGTTGGTATGAGGTATTCGTGCTGGCATGGTGTGTTTGGTTTTGTCCAAACAGTTCACTGTGCACTATGATCAAACATTCCTACTTTGGTCTCATCTGTCTCAAGAATATTGTTCCACGAGTTTTGTGGTTTCTTTAAGTGCAGCTTTGAAAACTGAAGCCATGTTCTTACTCTACTTACCCTCTTAATTCCTGTGGAAGCAAGTAAGGATGTACTTGGTTTTTCACAGGGCTCCACAGAGTCATGTGAACCAAATAGACCAAGTAGATCATAAGAACAAAGTACTTTTTCACATGACTGTAGGTGACAAAAATAAGGAAGCAAGGGATGTTGCCCTATGGAAAGACACCTACAGACTCAAGCTAAGTTTGCAAGCTGACATTAACATGTATTTCAAAGTTTGCAGTGGTACATAAGCTTTTATTAAACTTTGAAAAAAATCTGCATAAGGAAAATGAGAATGAAAGATTTGTATTTGGAAAAAAAGATTCAACTTGTCCTCCTTTCTGTAGTTTTCCATGCACACTTGAAATATGCCAGCAGAAAATATATCTCATATATCTTACACTTATTATAGTTAATATAATCTATAGAACTGCAGAAGCTACAGACACTGAAGACTGGATCAGTGCCAGCACCTTTTTTTTAGATCAGCAAGTCACAACAGTTTCCTATATAATGGCTATTAAATGTGACAGCTACTGTTTGTCCGACAGAGATGGAAACGGGGAGATGTATTAGCACACTTGAGTTGAAACAAAAGATCCATTTACAGTATGAGTCAGTGCCACCTTACATCCTGATAATATGTCCTGGAAATTTGCCTTGGGGCTCCCACAGAGAGAACAGCTTACCTCCTCATTGTACCACTGTGTGATATTCCAGTGGCATGGGAGGGTGTCATAGGTTTCCCTTAAAAGGAAAGTAAGTCTGGATTGTGGCATCCTCCAGATGTTAATAGCGGCATCCCATCTTGTCCAGGGTCCTTGGTGCCATGGAGGCAATGAGAACCCAATGACATCAAATCGATAAGTGAATCGGAATCACTAAAGTCTTATCAATTCCCATCGTTTGATCTTGTCCCACAGCTCCTTCAAGTGGCTTTCTCATCTGGTGCAGCTTTCCCCCAGTTCTGACAGAGCTGCCGGGTGTCTTTGATAACGTTTTTCTCTCTCTCTCTCTCTCTCTCCCCCTCTGTCCTTGGGGCTGTGGGCTCCATTCAACTAACCTCACCAAACCTCTCTCTGCATACCTTGAAGATGAACTTCCCAACCCTGTCATAATCTGTAATAAATTAGAAACATGGACGTGAAGGTCTTAAAGTGGATATCCTGCAAAGTACTGTTAAAAGTTTGTTGTCAGTGAGAACATATATCCCTAATATGGTCATCTGTAGCTGTGAGCACAGAACCTGCTTTTCAAAGCTTAAGTTTTGTAAGGGGCAGCCAATCAAAAGAAAGTTGGCTGAAAGCTTGAAAAGCTTGTGTCAAATAAAGGATGAACTGATGGGCTCCATCAAGGCCCAGTATGAATACAAATTTATCTTAGACTTATTTTGAGTTGTGAATCATGCAAAGCTACTCTTGTGCAATCCAAGAAAAATAATGTTTTAAAAAATGTTGGTCAGTGCAGTCATGTTTTTTGAAAGACTTTTTTTTTAATTTAATGAATTTCTGTTCAGACAGTCCTTGACTGTCTATAGCAGGTTACACTGTGAACATTTCATCTTTGTGCCACTAGTCACAAAATTCCAGACATTTACATTAAAGATTGAATCAGGTCACAAATATCTAACACTGTCAGTGACTTGTGTCATGGTAATAAGATGTCAAACACTTAAAGGGAGCTGTGATATAGCTACTGTCCCTTCTTCTCTTGTTTCTCTTCCCTGTTGGCCTGTTTCTGTTGCTCTGTCACCACTTGATAAACCGCTGCTTTATGTGCACGTTATCCACCTCAGTGTGTGGGATGTAAATGTCAAACACTTGACCATTTCTAATCCTGAAAACAGAGTAACTTTTATTCCAGTGATGCATTCAGATATCATGTAATCTAGACAGAGAGAGAATTATAAACTTGAACATTCCATTTATGTAGAAATTGTGGTGGGGTTGTTTTTCTGTAGGACATTATCTAATGCTTTGTCTGTTGTTTGTTGAATTTTACAATTCTCCCTTTTTAAGGGCTTTGAGTGTGTGAGAACTCGGATGTTGTGGTGTGTTGCTGAATAAGTTGGAAGTTGAAAAATTCTGAGTCTGAATTTTTTTGTGGAACGCCCCCTCAACTCTGAGGGGGCGTTCCACAAACCCAAAATTAGTAATCCAAGATGGCAGCACTGAACATAAACAGTAGTCAAATTGTAAACTATTAACTGTCCATTTTCCCCATTTGGGCACAAACCAACAAAATGAGCATCATGTTACATTTAATAGGACTTTAAACTAGCAATTGAGAGAATAAAGCCATTTAGAAAGTGTTGAATTATAGGTCAAGGGAGTAGGAAGAAGAATGAAGAAGACATTCAGAGAATCTCCTACGTTATCCTCAGAGTTCAATGGAACAAACTTCCAAGCTCTATGGTAATAAAAAATGAGTACGTAGAGTGATCCAGTCTAACTAAATCAGGAGAAAAATCATAAATAAATAAATAAACCCGCTCATGTCTCTCTCTGCCCCCTTTCTTTCTCTCTCAGCTGTCACCCCTCCTCTTTCCCCGTCAGTGGCCTCCCCCCCTCCACGACGCCTCTCTCTTAAGAGATTTTCTCTGTTCTCTCGTTTCCCAGGTAAATACTTGCATGGACCTGTGGAGGCAGAGCCCCGGGGGCCTGTATTTAATCAGATTTTCTCACCATCACCCCGCCCCCTTTCTTTTCTTGCATCATGTTCAGAGTCCTGATCCAACAAGTCAATGTTTTAGAACACATGTTTTGTAGGAAGTAAAGGTGTTTTGCTTTTTTTTTTTTTTCATGCTGTCCCTTTTTTCTGGGTTTTTACTATTTCTACCAACAATGATTATATTTCTAAAAGGGTTATAAGGTGTAAGGTTTTTACACTGCTCAACCAAACTCATGCTTTCAAATATTTCAAACTTCTCCAAAGTTTGTGTCTTAAAGCAAGAGCTGGAAGTAAGAAAATCCCAAAAAGGAGTTGGTTAGAAAATTTTAAATCATAAATGAACCTTGGAAAGATTCAAAGGTTACAAAAAGCATGGTAAATTAAACATTTTTGACCTCTGATTTTTTTATTTAGCAGAAGAAGTTAAATGAAAACTGTTTGCTTTCAGCTTTGAAAACTCACAATAGGTATTTGTGATCATTTTCAGACATCTTATAAAGTAAGCTGATAATATAATGTCCTAAAATGTTGACAAACAGCAGCTTATCATGTCTTCTAATTGCTTGTGTTGTCTGATATACAGAGCGAGGATATTTAAAAAAAAAAACATTTAATGGTCTCACAGGAACACTGCAAAATGCGACTGAAAGCTATGATCAGCTTGTAAATGGACCTTTTAGTTAATATTTGGTTTTATTGTCCATATTCATTGATAGATAATTGATTATTCTGTAGTAAAATCAGTAGCTGGGTGCTGCTGTATATTTTGAACATGCTGAAGCGCTCACTGCTGATGCTGCATGTGGTCTGTTTGTGTCTTCTTCTGAAGGCAGGTGTGACAGTTAAATGAGCAACTTGTTGGATGGGATTCTTGATGCTGTGACCTCTAATTTCTAACCCTGTCAAAACTAACACCTCCTGCTAACCACTGATCTACGTTCAGATGGTTTTCCATCACTCTTGTGATATTTACCAACAGCTACACTAATCTGACTGCAGAACTCTGGTTAACAAAATAGTTTTGACACTTTGAAGAATGTGCTTATTTGTCTTTCTGAGGGCTGAATGAAATGTGCAAATCTCCTGTGATTTTGCCCATTTCCTCTACAACAGAAATGGGAATAGTATGTATTGTAATGGGAAAGCTTAAGAGCTTTGAACTGGATATCATTAATTTAATGGAAAAGCTCACCTCTCATCCCAGAGACTTTAGCTCTTCTTAATCGAAGAAGCTTCTCAAGCTAATCACACATGCAGTTTTTGCTAAATCCCACTGCAGGTGGTATCTGCCATCTTATGAAAGTGGGAGTTAATTTCTAAGTCTGAATTTCAGTGCCTCTTAGCTGTAATGTTCACATTGCATGAAAGCTTTTGTTCATAATCATCTGTATTTGTGGGTGGAACTTTGTAGAGTCTTTTTTAAGTGGCAGATTCTGTGATTTTTCTACAGAGGTAGGCTAGCTGTTCAACCCTGTTCCTAGTCTTAATTATAAACTAAGCTAAGCTAATTTTTATTACCTAACTCTAAAAGAAAGAAAATCAGCATTTTTTTTTTTTTTACAGTATCTCCTCACTTACTAAACTTGCTCATCCAATTATGATAGGCCGTCCTCTACCCTAAATCATCTGTAAAACCAATGACAGAAATCTGTTCTCAGAGCTCAGCTGTAAAATGCTCAAATGATGCTCTTTGCATCATCACACAGCATGTTTGGCGCATTCTTTGCGTGACAAACAGTCTCCCCACATTCATGCAGTCATAGCACAAGTATGACATTTATATGTTTTGTGTGTGTTTGTGTGATCTGTTGCACTGTGTACTCATTACACCAGCCCTCACCACCTCATTCACCCAGCTGCCTTCACTTTTTCCTTGCTCATAATTATTTTTGTTTCCATTTTTCATTCATGTCAGCTTTGTTAATTACTTTTCTTTTAGAGACCCCTTGTCGTTTTTTGCTCACTGTTTTCTCTGTTAATCCTTAGAGTTCCGTTCTCCGTCACATGGGGGCAACCTCAACCGCTCGGCATCTCTGAGCTGCACCGAACGGGCTCCAGAGAGTGGCTCCGTCTGTGGAAGCAACACTCAGATCCCAGGCACACCCTTCCAGTACATACCAGATTTCTGTGTTCGAGCGCTTTCAGATCTTCAGTTTGTCAAGGTAACTCCCTGTTTGACTGACAAACATTTTTATATAAGCTGATTTTTAACTTACTATACTTCTGTATAACACAGACACCCATAGGAAATGAATTATTTATAATGGTTCTATTTCAAGTATAAGAAAAAAATATTTAAAAATTGCTTCCCACAATGCAAAATCTAAACATTTCTTCTAAAAGCTACATATTGAACAGTATTTAAATAACACTGAGCAGATGGAAGAAATAAGATTTTGTGGCATTTAAATCAGGCAAGTACAAATAAATGCTTGAAGTAGATGAAATCTTTCAAAATATCAAATTGTGAACCACACAATTTGTCGACACTCTCTCTCTGACATAACTATGTCCTTTTTGTGGATCAGTGAGTCAATGTCTCACTTACTGGCGAATGGTTTGACATCGCTAGTGTTCACTCCACTCCTGAATCTATATATTCGTATCCACTTTTCATGAAGAGGTGAATTAGGGGGTTACATTCACACAAAATGGCATAAGACTGGAATAAAATTTATTCATTAACTGGAAGACTCTATTAAAGAGACCGTGAGTTTACGCACCAACACACAGCAAAGAACCCAACAACCTCTAAAAGCAACTGGCTCCATTTTATACTCTACCTGATTCCGGTGAGCATCTAGAATAGCCCAAGTCTAGAGTTAGCAAACCAAATGAAAACATAAACATCCACATGAGCCATCATCAAACCACAATACAACACATAAAAGACACATTTATATTTTTACCAAGTCCTATAAATAATTAAATAACATATAGACTTCAACCACTTCTTTATAAATTAAACACCTTAACCACACTCCCCTAACTTGGGGTATTGGTTTGCTCCAGGAGCTCATAAGCAGGTGATTGAGCTGCTTCTACTCTTTTGCTCCACATCCTGCAAAAGAAACAACCAGGAAAGGTGAGTACTGTTAACACACTTATCTTAATACTTATATAAAGAATTTAGGTTACAGACAAATGATAATGATAAAATGTGAACAGCTCTAACTAAGGTTCTTTTTCCTGACACAGGTCGGATGGCCAGTCCCCCTGTTTCTTCACCTTCCACAAGCGATTCACTTAAATACTAGAAAATGAACCTAATAAAGAATCACTAACCACAAATGTGTTTTCTTTCTTTTATGTAGTTTTTAAATATGTAGTTTTTAAATACAAATCACTAAAATTAATAAAAATACAGGTAAGGGCTTCCAGCACTGTCACTGCCCACAGTGAATTTCATTAGCTTTTGTGTATTTCTGTGTAGGTTCTCAGTTATCCAACTCATACTAGTTTAAGGAGATTAGTAAGAATGTGACTAGATGTCTTTAAGTTTTGTGAAACTTGCAAAAGTCCTGCTACTTTTTTCCTAAGCTCCTTAGAAAAGCTTACTTGTAGTCAGTCCAGGCAGTGCTGAGATTGATATGTCTTGGGGTCCTGATCTACTGCTCTGTCAACCAGGAGCTGGTGCTTTGGTGTTATCTGCCATGCCCTTTTAACTGTGCTGTGTGTTGACTTTTGCCTAGTCAGCTTGGTTGCTATGATAGGAGCTTCCATGTTGTGGCGAGGTAGGTAATTCGCATGTGTCATACCTTTGTGGAAAACCTTAATGATCAGGATAATTCTTCTTGTTCTAGGAAGTTGTTGTTCTCTTAGGTTATTCAGCTACTTTCTCTTAATTATTCTTACAGGATTGGTCAGTGTCACCTCTGGGTGAATCAGTATTGGTCCCTTTCAGCTGAGAGTACACTTTGGATGGCTCTTTGGAGAACATGCTAGTTATTTTCTTGGCTCTTGATTTTCTGGGTATCTCTTCAACATAGACACTATGGACACTTGTTTGGCCTCTGTTATGAACACATTATGGTGCCTGGTATTCATCCTGTTGTTCTGTAGCCTGTCTGTCATGATGGCGTTTTGCACCCTCTGTTAGCTGACTAACGTTCTTCTGGGCTAACAAGTTGAAATGAAAGCAGGTAGAATATCACCCTTAGGATGTTACATGAATAGGAAATTGTATATTTGGTAGTATTTGTGATATAGCACAATATTTTAATAAGGAAAAAAAATCTCAGTTATGTATGTAGCTACATTACGTTGAGCTATAAATTAGGTAGATCTCTAATGGAAACAGTTACATATCTGTTCTATGGGAAGCAGGGAAAGCTGTGATGAGAGGTAAAATAATTTCTTTCTCATCACATAAAAAGAAAGAAGAAAACAAAAATATTCAGGAATTAGAAAAAAACATTAAATCACTAGAAGAAACCTACGCGTCCCACCAAGATCAGGAAACATTGAACAAAATACGCAAAACAAAACTAGAATTAAATGAGATAATTGATAAAAAAAAAACAAAATTCTTAGTACAAAGACTACACTTACAAAATTATGAACATGGTAATAAATCCGGTCAATTTCTAGCAAACCAGCTAAAAATAAATAAAGAAAAAACAACTATATGTGCTGTTCAAGATTCATCTGGGAACACAGTATATGACCCGAAACAAATAAACAACATTTTCAGGGATTTCCATAAAAGATTGTATCCACCACAAATAAACCTGTCTAAAAAGGAAATTGATCAGTTTTTAGACAACATAACTCTTCCAAAATTATTAGACACTCAAGCAATGGCACTGGATTCGCCACTGACATCAGGTGAACTCCAGGAAGCCCTGATAAGTATGCCCAATAATAAGGCTCCAGGTCCAGACGGCTTTCCTGCAGAATTCTACAAAGAAAAACGCACAAACCAATATCTCTGGGGTGATTTAATTGATAAACTCTTTTGCAAGAATATCAGATTACTCAATTAACTGGTCAAAATCTACAGTCCTTCCGATTAATTGCTCCTTCCATAATTTTTCTTCTACACCACTGCAATCGGGAAATATAAAATATTTAGGTATTAATGTTTCTCCCACGCTTGCAGTTCTAACTAAATTAAACCATACCCCACTTTTAAAGAAGGTAGAAGGCGATCTGGCTAGATGGAAATGTTTACCCATATCACTCATGGGAAGGGTTGCCGCTATAAAAATGATGGTCTTGCCAAAAATAAATTATTTATTCTCAATGATCCCAACTAAACCTCCACAAGATTGGTTCAGATCTCTAGATTCATACATGTCCAAATTCCTTTGGAAAGATAAACCCCCACGTATAAGCTTAAAAACACTACAAAAGACCAAGGATAAAGGAGGATTAGAACTACCTAACTTTCAGCACTACTTCTTAGTCAACAGGCTTCAGTTTATCTCAGGATGGCTAAAACATACCTTCTTAGATGAACCTTGGCTAGATGTAGAACAAGCACTTTGCAATAATCTAGCGATTTCAGATCTACCATTTATCAGCTCAAACATCCAACGACATGAATGCTTCAAAAGCGTCAACATCAGTTCTTCTCTGACAGCATGGTGGGAGTTTCTAAAATTGACAGAGTCTTCATTAATCCCATGCAAACATACACCTATCTGGAACAACCCTGACATATTACATAACAATAATATGATAAACTTTTCAGATTGGAGTGGTAAAGGAATCAAATATTTAGAACATATATTAGAAGGAACAGAATTTATTTCATTTGACAGACTAGTTACACAATATGGGATCAACAAGAATTTTCTTTTTAGAATATCAACAAATTAAATCCATAGTAAAAAAAAGAAATTTAAACTGAGTCAAGTTGAACGACAAACACCACCAAGTGTGGTTCAATTTCTTACTCTTAAAACCCCCAAATTACTTTCCAAAATATACAGAATGTTCTCGTTTGGCTCTCAGCGAAGGCGGTCACACTTTTTCTCCTCTCCTCCTTACCCTTATCTTCCCTGCTTAGCCTCTTGTGTCCTTGTCTTGTCTCGTGTGTATTACTTTCCCTCGAACAGTCTCTCACTGTCGTTCTCTAAAACCTAAAAGAGAATTATGGATTTGATCAACTGGTCTCTGAATGCTATTGACACCGTTTTCTCAACGAGAAGTCTGGGCTCGGGAGAGCCCGAGTGCCCTGGAGGGACTTTCCCTGCCGGATACACGATGGACGGGTGGCAGAACTGGAGGGTCATGTGCCTGGCGGGACTGTCGATCGAGGACGCTGAAGATATCTACCTATTCGGAACCATGATAACAGGGTTCTTGCTGATCGGAGCTGGCTTGGCCCTGACTTATCGGAGAAATAAGAGAGCGAAACCAGCTGTTCAAACCCCCCCCCCCAAGGCTGACCGCTGGAATTGAAGCGATGGGATGAGGCGCGACCTCTCACAACGAACGCAGCATGGTTAACACCTTGGAGACGCTTACGGCTGCCGTGAAGACTCAACGGTGCCAGCTGCTCAGGCCCAAGGCTGGAGCCAAACAAAAAATCCCTGATAACGACTGTGTGATGACTATTCTTCCCATTCCATGCAAGGCCAACTGGATTGGCTAGCAGACTGTTTACTTAGCCTGATAGGGCGAAGGACACTGTCTCAGCTGAACTATGGACACGCACACACATACACTTACACTGATAAGCACTCACACATCCCCCATCCCCTTCCAACGCCTTCAATGCTTGTTGCCTCCTGGGAACATGAGGCGGGTCTGAGCCCGCGCTGGAGAGTCGGCGCAGTGGCAGGATGGCTGCTGTGTTGCCTGGGAGAACTCCTTATCCCCTACCCAACCCTGTTGCTGGTCACGTGCTCTACAATGTTGTACTGTGGACATTTATGTGCTTTTCTGTGCAGAGGAGTTTTTTTTTGTTTCCTGTTCTCATGCTGTCCTCCTGTAGCCCGGCATGAGTAGAGGTCTCTTTTTTTCCTCTTGTACCTTTCCCACTGTAGTGTACATTTCAGTGTTTTTTCTGTAATGCAACCGTTCTCCGACTTGTATACCCATGTGATGTCTGTGTTGTATGTGTAAGGTCGGGGGGCGGGTTCATTCCACTGCAGGGCAACCTGCCACTGCATGTGGCGAATAAACTTTGAACTTGAACTTGAACTTGAGAATGCTTTCTAAAACAGATGAATCAATATCACTTCCTATTGCAAAATGGGAAGCGGATTTATCAGTTAACTTAGACTAAAACTTCTGGTCTCAGATTTGCTTAAAAACCTTTCATCTAATTAGAAATCCCAGTTTTCAATTAATTCAATACAAAATATGCACTATAAAGGTCATCGGATGTTCAAGATGGGCTTTACGTCTACCAACAACTGCTCACACTGCCAAACGAATTCACCGGACAATTATATCCACGCTCTTTGGTTCTGTCCACCAGTTCAGAAGTTTTGGCGCGAGATATGTGAAGACTTATCAAAGTGTCTGAAATGTAACATTCCAACTTCCCCTTTAGTGTTTTTGTTGGGCAGCTTAGATAATGTCACTACAGAAAAGAATATAGCCCATATGGTTTTCACTGCCCTATGCATAGCCAAGAAAACAGTCCTCATGAACTGGAAAAATAAAAATAATCTTAATTCTAACCAATATAGAAATTATCTATTAGATTACATTAGTCTTGATACAGCCTCTGCCACCACATCAGATCAATTGCTCTGGGCTCCTTTGATCAGCTCCATCACTTAGTGGGGGTGGGGGGTCATAGTTTAGTCCCACCTTTGCTGTTGTGATTGGTGTGGGGGTAGGGACAGGCTTAGGGCGTCGGGGGGTTCCCCAGGAGCATCTTCCTTGGAGGGCTCAACCCGGGGTAGCGGTCATGGCCTATTAAGGGCTCTGTTGGCTCTTAGGTGACGGTTTCCTCGTGGCTGCGTGCAGCAGGACTAGGGGAGGGTCTGTGCTGACGGACGTGGGTTACTGACCTGGTAGCCTGGCTGGCTGCCCCTGGGTGGGTCCAGGACGGGCGTGAGGTTCTGGGGGTGCTCCGTCTCTGGGCTGGGGCCCTGGCTGGGCCTCGGGGGCTTGGGTCCTGGTTGGTGTGTTGCCGGGGTTGTGGGCGGGTGGGTGTATGGGGGCCCAGTCCTGGCGCAGGGTGCCGCCAGTGCATCGAGCCACCTGGGAGGCTCTTCTACTGGTGGGGGATGTTGTTACATCTTGCAGGAGCTCTCCTCTCTTCAGGAACTCACTATGCAGGAGGGGGAGATACAGGAGAGGTGGAGGAAGATCTCAGCCTGGGTGTCTATTGTCTTGTGTAGTGTGGAAGATGAGTGGATGACGGGGTGGGTGCAATTTTCTCTGAGGTGGGGTCGGGTGGGCTGTCCCGGGCTCTGTGGGGCCGGGCGGCGCTGCTGTACTGGTCCCCGGTCCAGATGGGCCTGGGCCCCCTTTCCCTGGTGGGTTGCAGAGTATGGGGTGCCTACTGGGGTCAGTGAGGGAGCTGGCCCCAGGGAGGGGTCACTTGCCCCTCCCTTCCTTCCCTCCCCATCTCCAGCTGCCTCCCTCTTTCCGCTCCACCACAATCACCCACATATGCAGGGCCTTGGGGTAAAGATGTGTCACAAGGGTGCAGGGGAGGCATCCGCCCCTCTGTCCCCTTCTGGCTGCCTGTGCCTCAATTTTATCTCACAACTTAAACATTCATATTACTCACACTCTCATAACACATACATGTAGGATCTTGGGGGTGGGCACGCTACACGGACTCCAAAAGACCATCAGGGTGTACAACCTCACCCCTGGCGTCGTTGCCCACCTCTCAATTTTAAATACACGTAGACATTGAGGGCTAGCAGGAGGGGCTATGCGGTTACCTGCTGCTCTCTGGCAGGTAGCTCCATGCCCTCCTGGGTTTTAAAGGCACCTTAGAACACACATGCATCAACACTACATATGAGCGGGCGGAGGGAGGTTTGGAGTCTTCTCTCACCCCCATTCTCTGCGGCCTGCTGGAGCGGGGGGGCTAGGAGGAGAAGTTGGCCGTCCGACTGGGGTCTGGAATGTGGGGCCTCCCTGCTGCTGCGGAGTCGGGGCGGTCTGCTTCTCCCCACCCCAGTGAAAAGGGTAACACCACCTGGGTCTGGGTGCAGTTCCCCCCTCCAGGGGCAAGGTTACCTAGACCCGGGGCTTAGAGTACACTTGGGGAGTGTGATTGTGTGTACAGTGTCTCTCTATGTCTGTCTCCACGTTGGGTGAGTGTTGAGTAATTGCATATGAGAGCATGAGGGTGGGAATGGATGTTTGTATCTGTGTGTGCCTGTTTGTCTGTGTCCATATGTCAGGTCGGGTATCAGACGCCACCTCTCTGGGGACATCCCAGGTCCTCCAAGGTATGGAGGCCTATCTCCCCCACCACTTCCCCTACCAGTGGCAGACACCCTCAGACATCGGTGCGTTGGTGGTTCTTTGTGTCCGGGGATGGGCGTCCAGGTACACACCGGCTCACTCCTTGGTGGCCCGCTTATCAGGGCCTGGAGCCTGGGGCTCGCTCGGGCCACTTCGGGGGTGGGGTGCCCTCGGGCTCTCGGTCTGGGGCTCGGTCACTCTGGCACAGCTGGCTGCCGGCGGAGCTCACGGGCACATCACTGCAACCCCCCCTGGCTTCTGCTCCGCGGCTGCTGAGTGACCCCTCATTTGGGACTCTCGTCAGCTCTTTCTGGGATAGTGGCGCGGCTGCCCCTCTGTTGGTCTTCCTTGGTCTCTTGTGTTCTGAGGGCCTCTGGATGTCTGGAGTTTTGATCTCCTCCATACCTGCTTGATGCCCTGGTGGACGGGGCTGTGGCTCCCCACACCCTCTAGCAGATCATTACATGAAGGAACCTTTTAAAACAAGCACGTTCATGCTCACAGGTGTACACACACACAAACGACACCCTTTTTGGCTCCTACCTCAAAGCACACTGTGCGCTGTCGATCTTACGTGCTGCACAATAATGTTTAATATTTAGTATTTACAGTTATATTCCCATATATGTGATGGTGTTGTTTTTATTATGTTGCTCTTTGTTGATCGTGGTGATCCAGGTGTTTTGTTTGTTTTTCTTTTTTTTCTTCCCCCTTTCTCACCATCTCATCTCCCCTCTATTTTTCTTTCTCTCCCTCTCATTCTTTCATTCTTTCTCCCTGTCCTATCCCCCAGTCATGTCTGTCCCGTCTCTAAAAAACGAAAATAAAATAAATACATAATTATAATAAAGGTCAATCAAATGGACCAATATGGCAAGGCCATGAGGATCCACTTGGTAAAGTAAATCCAATTGGCATCTTTCTTGGCTTTCAGACAGCAATTCTGATGGCTAAAGATCCAAACGGGACAGGCAAAAAAAAAAAAAAAAATCTATTCACCTTTGTTTTGTCTTGCATAGATCACTCGTCCTCAGTACCAGAATGGTCTGCTGGCATCGAGGCTGGACAGCACACCACAGTCTCCAGAGGGCAGTCACACACGCCTGGACACGTCGGTTTCTTTGCCCCCTGTGACGCCACCAGGGCCACACACCCCACTGCCGCTGGCCACACCTCCTGTGAAGCGCCCTGCATCCAATTCTCAGCCTACACCTCTGAGTGACCGTACCACACTGCCCCAAACCACCTCTTCTTCCTCCAGCAGAAGGCCAAGCCATTCTTTGCCCCAGGCCACTCCTTCTCCAAGCAACCACGCCCCTATCTCCCAAACTCCTCCTTCCTCCATGAGCACCGTCCTGTGTGCCCAAAACCCCAATCTAACTCTGAGCTCCACCCTTTCCTCCAAGTCTCCGCTATCTCCGCCCTCTGTCAGCCCAGAGAACGGGCCAGGAGAGACTACTTCTCTGCTCAGTGAGCAGCAGAACTGCATGGGCCCCCACCGGCCCAGCCACCCTCACCCACATGTTCACACAATCAGTCACGCACATACTGAAAGCACCATTTAACTCAAATCCCTCTGGGATTACCAAAACTACCTGTGCACTCACTATCTCACATTACATACCACACGGGCACTAATTCTGGTTCCTGTTTGCTTGCTGTCACCTGACCCTTCCTTTTGACAAGAAGCTGAGGAGATCAACAGTCTGTGAGACCAATAGACTTCCTCCTCTGTACCTTCCTGCATGTTTCCCTACCAACACTGAAAAAAGACCAAGGGGAGAGGAGAGAAAAAGGAACCCTAATGAGTATGGTATTGTATTCTTTACATGTTAAAATAGTATAACAGAGGAAAAAAGAGCAAACAAAGCAAGACAGAAGGAAAACAAAGCAATAATAATTATAAATAAATTGCATGTTCATAAAGGAGTAGGAAGAAGCATAAGCTTATTTAATCCCACTCACTTTCCAATATTTAGTAATTAATAGTCTACACTTTTTTCTGTTTATGCCCTGTCCATCAGAAATTCTTCATTACAATTACTTTACATGTTAAATGTATTTTTTAAATTATACATGTATATATGTATAAGTATATATATTAGTATAGTATATATATATATATATATATATATATAATAATAATATATATATATATATATTATATATATATATATATATATATAATATATATATATATAATATATATATATATTATATATATAGTATATATATATCTTTTAATTATATATATTTTTCATTTACACAGGGTTGTGTCTGTACATCTTTTGAAGATTACTTCCCTTAAGTTGTATCTGTTATGCATATAGTTGTGGGTTTTCCCTCTCTCCAGGTTTTTGACATTTTTGCTCCCACATTATTATAATAGGGTAAAAAGAATTGGGGCCAGGCAATAAATACAATTTTGTTTTTGCTCATAATTTTGGATTCTAGCAGTTATGGAAGCAGATCAACAAAAATGAGCACTACATGTGTTTTGGAAGAAAATACTAAAAAATCTCTTCAAATAGAACTAAAGCTTTGGCTGTTAACATCATCACATTAATAGAACAGACATCCCTACTATAATCCTTATCCCTACTATGCAGTTTAACATAAGACGTTTTTGCTGTTGTTTTATTTCAGTTGCATGGACGTTTGAGTTTATCTTTATCAAGATTGACATTTCCAAAAGTACTAGAGTTAACAGTTGAGGCTTATTCCATTAGTGATCATTTATTCAGTTTCTTGTTAATGACAGCCTTCTTGACTTGTTTTTTGAAACTGAGGCTGATTCTAAGAAGTCATTGTTGTGACAGATGAACACTTTTATTTTTCTTATTTCAAAAGAACCAGATTCACTGTATTGAACCACTTCTTCAGTATAAGTATAAGTAAGTATAAGTTGACACATACTGAAAAACTGGTGGTGATGCAAGTTGTAACTTGTTTTAAACCAAATAGACACATTCTATTATGTCTGATCTTTTGGGGGGGAAAGGCTGGACTTTTCCTTATTTCAGGAAGCCTATTTTTTTTTTTTGAAAAAGTCGTTATGTCAGGTAAATCAATCAGCACAAAAATTACTTATGTATTTATTTTATAAAACAAACAAACAAAAAAACCCTGTGGCTTCCTGAAAAAAAGCTCGAAAATTGTAGCTTCAAATTTGTTAATTGGTAATAAAAATCACGAATTAAGGTGTAATTAAGGTGCTAAAACACTGGTACGGTCCTTTAATGCAGTGTCACTAGATCTGTGAAGGTGGGTGTCGGTTTGTGCCTACCTCCTTAATGCATTTTTTAAAATTTATTTAATTTCCAGGAGCAATATTAAAATATTTATTTTGAATAATATCGATCTATGAGTATTTGACATTTAATTTGTTATTTATTTGACTTTTATTTATTTTTTGCTTACTTTTACTTTTGACAAGTTAGAGGACAGGCAGGACAGATAATATTTATCTTGACTGTCTTCCACTTCCAGTACATATCCCTCACTGTGAATATAGTGTCCATCCAAAAGAGGCTGAAAGAACTGGACATCAACTGTTTGCAACACTTTGTGTTCACTGATATGTCTGATCTCTTTGTTATAAATTCTCTACTAAAGCTAAGTTTGATGCTGCTTAAACCTCAACAACATTGAGATGAGGATTTAAATATTCCAGAGCAAGTAGCATGTGTGCTCATGGTTTTTCATAGCAAGTGTATTCACAGCACATTTGGCTGCTTAAAAGAAACATTATCTGTTATCCAAAACTCCCAACCAAAGTCTGTGCTAGCTTCGAATGATCTTAAATAGGACTATAGTTAATTAGAAATATTGGTGCAATTTTTAGAATTAAACATTACATAAGCAGGTTAAAATCTGTTAGCTTTTCAAAAGACTGGAAACTGACTACCTACAAACATCTCTGAAGCCTTTGGAATAAAACAAAAACAGACTAACTGGAATCTACAGTGTATTTTCCTTTAAAACTGTAGTATGTTTATTTGGTTGGTTAACATTGTTTAGTTTTTAGCACCTTTAGCATTTAGGTCTTATAAAAACACAAAAAGGCAGATTTCCATTGTGATTTTTTGGTAATGTTTTCAAATGTAAGTCTTATTTTCACCCGACTACACACTGCACTGTAATCAAGTACATTTGAGACGTAGTACAAAGTACAGTTGTACAGTCAGACACGGTGTAGATCGGTTGTAATCTCGAGGTGTTGAAACACAGTCTCAAACTAGTGCTGCCCCCACTTCGCTGCTCTAGAAAATTGTTGAGTTGCCAGTAAGCACAAGGTTAATAAGCGATGGGCAAAAGTCGGCTTATGACTTGATCTTAGAATGTAGCTTGTTTGAATTTAATGGACAACAAACACTGCATGTCTTCACGGTGATTCACACCAGTAGTTTTAACCTTTCCCTTAAAAATCCTCTCTGTCCTTGTTCAGTATTCTAGACCAGAGATACATTCATATCCTTGATACAATGTGAACTACATTTTAAAGTGTATTTGTAAATAGTACTGTTCAGCCCATGTTAAGAAGAATGACAATGTTAAAGCTGCTAGTATGTAATCTATCTTTTTTTCCATCTGTCTAAAAGACAATTGAACTGACTTTAACGATAACATAAGAGAGACTATTTTTTTGAAGATCTAGTGAAAGATATTTATTTGAAAAAATACCGACGTATAAGCTAGTTTTACAAAAATGCATATGAGTTACATAGCATAAAACTCTAAAAGTAAAAATTCCAAAACATTGGTTTTTTCCCCCCCAGAGGGCTAAAAACTGGGTTCCTCTCCAGGAACCAAAAGGCCACAGATTTACTGTGAGTCAGTTGTTTTGGGTGTGAATTAATTTTTTTATCCTGCGATCTTGTTTTGAAGTGGATTCCATTGTAGTTTAGACCATCTTCTTAGGGCTGTAAGGGTACACAAAACTCACTGTTGGTCATAAGTGCAAACGAATACTTTGTTTAATTTATACTTAAAACTAATAAGTGTTTAACTCACACGATTTCCAAAACCAAGGAAGTCTTATCATGAAATGAACTTTTTATACCCTTACACCCATATTGTCATCATTTCAGTTTTGTACCTCAATGATGCATATTGCAAAACTGATTTTTGAGCATAGAGCAAAACTGTAGCCTTGTAGTATTCCATTATCAGCATACCAGACACTAGGGGAGGTCCGGGCAGCTAATTTTTGCCCAGGGGACAAATATAAGTAAAAACTAGCCATGGAAAATAGCTGCACTATGTGAAAATATAGAGTTTATTTAGCAGGATCTTTCTGACCAGGGCAAAAAACCTGTCTGTTTAAAGCATATATATGTATAGTCAAACTAGCCTTATGTTCTGTTTCAAGAAAATGTCCACTTCTGGTTAATACATGTCATGTAGCAATTAGTTTTACTGGTTTCCAGTAAAGCCACTGGTTGGCTGTTTGACTACCAGTTTGTGTACTGGGAAATGTGAAAACTTACTAAGTAACGTTGTATTTATTGTAAACGTTCTATTTATAATTTGTTTGTTTTTATGTGCACAAGGTATCTGTCAAAATGGGCTTCCGGCTGTAACACGCAGCTTTTATTGGGTTACTTTGCCCAGAAACACTGTGTTCATTTCTTCTTATTGTTGCTTGTGTTATATTACTGTAAATATTCTGTACATGAAGAGGTGCTGGGGACACATGGAAAAAAGAGCTTTACTTGTAATGGAAGATGAAACATGATTTTTCCCCTTGTTTTACTAGGAGGGCATTGCATAGCAATAAACAATGCACAAAGTTGGCCTCAAATAATAATTTACTTCTACTGTCTTCTATAGTATTCTTCATAAATGGCATGAAAACCAAAGCTAATTTTCTCTGCCAAAATCTTTCTTTTATTTTCTACTCTCCTCCTACACTTCCTTGTCACTTTTCCTCATGTTTTTTTTTTCCAGCCTGTCTTATTTCTGTTCATCTCCTGCTGGATAAAGCTATTGAAATTCCTTTGGCTACTGGCTTATCAACAACACCTGCTGTGTTGGTTTTAACACTGCATTGGTGCTGGGATTAAACCTACACAAAGCTTAAACGTTTTATGAAGCACAGTGAGGTTTCCTGCACTGTGTATCACTTGAAATTGTTTGAGGTTTCATGCATTGAGGGTGAAATACATTTAGCAAATTCCAACTGCATGTTTGCTGTTTGATTAGTTTTTCTGAGTTGCAGACCAAATGTAAGAAAAGTCAGTGACAAACTGACAAATACAAAACTCCAGGCCCTGAAGGCAAAAAAGTCTGCTTTCCCTTTCCTTCTGTGCCCAGAATACCTGTTTAGCAGGTTTAAGTGTAACGATACATTTTTCTTTTATTGCAAGGGTTGAGCAGAGATGGAGCACTTCCAAATAAGGATTGTGTAATTAAAGCAATGTGTATATATTATTTTCTAACTACTGTAAGGCATAAAAAGCAAAACGAAATCTGAGGTTAATAAAGCTGAGATATATTTCTCTACAGAAAATCTGTCTGACTCTGTGTCTGCAGGAAAATGAGCTTATTTCACATTAACTGTTGTGAGAATTGTTAGAAGACATCTGAGAAAGTCCCGAGGCAAAGTCCAGTCCAAACAGTGGTTGCACACATGAAGCAAAAGAAGATTATTTCCATCTTCCAGTGCCAAGGCCCCAGCACAGAACAGAACAGGCCTCAGTGACAACAGATATGATATTAAGTGTGAGGTAGTACAAAATGAAGATCTGAGGTGGGCTGCAAAGTGGATTGCAAATGTATAGCAACTGTGTGCACACTGAGGCTAAAGCAGCCTAAGTAGCACGTCCTATCTGAGATTTACTGGATGGGTGATTTATTAGTTGTGTAGAAGGTCATAACCGAAGTAATCAGCTATTACTGTCCCCAGCTGGCTCCCTCACACCACCACAGATGCAGGGTCTTGAGGTACAGGTGTGTCACTGAGTTGAAGGGGAGACATTCCTCCTCTGTCCCTTTCTGAGTGTGTTAGTGTGTCTCCATGTTGGGCAAGTGTTGAGTATTTGCATATGTGTGCATAAGGGTGGGATTGCATGTTTGTGTCTGCGTATGACTGTTT